GCGAGAGTGGTCACTCATTGGCTGATACAACCTACACCTCGGCCGTGGGAGAAGTTGGAAAGGTTGGAGGGAGCAGCACTTCACAACACATGCTGCCGACTCCTTCACCGCCGAATGGCGTGAACTCTATTAATCTGCTGTGGGCTAGTGGCCGTTGCTTCGCAGTCATGTTTCTCTTCGAATCTCAGCGATGGGGGGAGATTGGTGCTTCACGGCACCTTATGCCCAACACTTTGCAGTCATCATTGGCGGGTCTGCTTTATTATGTGTGACTGAGCCGCTGGAAAATTCTAGCCGAATTCTGGAGGCGGACCGGTCTGGATGGAGATCCAAGAGAACGCCTGTGTCGCGTCTCGACAAGCACTACTCGTGGAATGGGGGTTTGGGTTGGGAGGTTTAGGATATGCAATCTAACGGATGGGCCCTGGGTCGCCTGGTTTTGGTGCGCGATATTTGTGCCTGGAGCTCCTGACGCCCTAATGCTATAATGTTACAACCACTATCGCTTGCCCTACAAGGTCAAATTGGCAGATACGCTCTGCCCGGTCCCAAGCATTTTATCGCGAAGGGACGAGGTTTTCCCCAGTGTCCACCTTCGACACACTTTCTACGATGCTGCAACTATTATACGAAAGCCTGTGCTGACTTTGGGTTGCGGTTACTTGGCCTAAAACGTTTGCTTCAGGGCCTGGGATCCCTTTTGATCTGCTGGTCGGTGTTTGGGTCGTTGGGAGATTTATGCTTTATGTGCTATTGAGTCCTGGCGAGCATGGTCTTATAGTGTGGCGAATGCGAGATGACGCATATGGGGTTCCTCTACGGCTTCGAGTCCTACTATGGTGGCTCCGATCCGGGATCGAATACTACCGTGCTTCGCTTGGATTCTTTGGATTTACGTGCCTTGGGTTCCTGGTGTCTCGACATTGATACATACAACTACTTGACGAACCAAATTGGCTTTGGGATACGGTTGAGTGGCTTAAACTTGTGTTTCGGAGACGAAGAATCTTCAAAGTCTCTGGCAGTTCTTGGATGGATAGAATTTCGCGCCCTCCATAAGCTGTTCCATCTCGCGCCTGGTTTTCTGGTGTTACAACCGCTATCACTCCCTCCTGCAAGGCTCAGCTACTCCACAGATGTCGACGTATTGGCCTTCTGGGGTCTCTACGATATACATGCTTTGGGCGCCTTCTCCCATTCTTAGTGATGTTGCGCCTGTTGTCGCTCTCGCCTGCAAGTTTTGGCATGTACTCTCTGCCTGGCCTTCTCAAAGCTATACCATCACTAATAACGTTGCGCCTGTTGTCGCTCTCGCTTGCAAGTGGATTGGCATGTACTCTCTGCCTGGCCTTCTCGGAGCTATACCATCACTAACTATGTTGCGCTTGTTGTCGCTGTCGTCTGCAAGTGGGTTGGCATGTACTCTCTGCTTAGCCTTCTCAGGTTCGATGAATTGGAGGAGGACTCCTCGCTATGTTTTTAATAATCAGCGAGGTGTGGAAATGGGCAATATCGATTCCGCAGCACTTCGCTGCATCGTCATCCTCGGGATGAGACATTATTAGGTTTCGACCACGGTTGAGCGGCCTAGGAGGCTGGCTTGGGAGTCGGAGAAGGGTGACGCTATCCTCAGACGGTGTTTGGATCGATTGGGAATTTGCAATTGATCTGTCTTGGGCACGAAGCACCAAGAACGAATATGTCTGGCTGTGGCTGGCTGGGTTTGGACAACGATTGCCTAGCGTGAAAGGTTGGCTTGCAGTGAGAGAGTATACCATACTCTCCTATCAGATGGATGTCTGCAAGCGATGTGCTTTGGAGACTGGGTCTCCTATTGTCGGGTTGTGTTGTGGCCCTTGTTATGTCGGGACACCGGTTGCGTGACCTAAAAGGTTGGCTTGGAGCTGGAGAATGGAATTAATGTGCTTTGGGTGCCGGTTTCCTCTATCCCCCTAAGCGTGGTGGCCCTTTTGGATTTCGGATAACGGTTGCGTGACCTAAATAGCTGGCTTGGAGTTGGAGATGGCGGCGCCAGTGTCAGATGAACATCGGTTGGATGTTTGCAATTGAATGCTCTAGGTTCCTGGTGTCCAGGAGCTACGATGTTATGACTACATAGTGATACCCATAAATCAAAATTACATAAAACCGATCCTCTGTCTCGAGTTCATATTCAATTGAGAAGTTGCGCGGTGTTGTATTGCGTTGGAAGGGAGTGTTAGCAATTGATGGGTGTTGGTAAGGGCTGAACACAACGGCTCCCGACACTCTAGATGCCTACCGATGACCCCATAACTTCCCCTCTCCCATTGACATTGCAGGACACTAATATTCCCCGCCCACTGATATGTGACATCATAGTATCGATATTTATTTCGGTCGATCGATTCGGGGCCGCGTCGGTTTTGTGAGTTGTCGAAGGCAGTATTCGTCGTTTAGCTGGCAGGATAAGCTATGGTAGTGCAATCTCTAAATCTATTGCGTTCGTAGTGCGTGGTTTATCTTCGTTGCATTATTTGTCGAGGATGGCATTTGTCGCTCAGTAACTGAGGTAGTAACTTGTTGTGGTTCGTTGTGCGGGATCTCGTTGGTTGGGCGTACAACTCTAACTTCAAGGTTAATTCTTGCGGCTAGCCAAACATGTGCAAGTTTAGAAGAAAAAAATTACCTTGGTCTGACAAGATTTCCAGGCAGACATCTAGATGAAGTAAATCCCAGCTTCCAGATAACACTGTCCTGTCGCACTCGCTAAATTGAGACTGTAGTTTCCCCATATTCATCTATATGAAGGTATGCGGCTCCGGGATAGTCTATCGTTCGGGACAGTAAAGCGGAAGATTGCCTCTGGGAAGTTCACAGACTCGGTTAGCATCGGAGAAGGTCCAGCGACAAAACGAGGAAGAAGTACTTGCAACAGGTCAGCAGCCTCAATTAAAGCAAGAATAGCCGCAATTTTGGTATTTACTTTAAGCCAGCAATTGCATCTCAAATGGCCAGTCTCGAATTTCCGGTGACACTTTTTGCCTGGCCCCGGAGCGCCGACTGCCCCAGTGTCGATCGTAAATCGACCTGGCGCTTGAGGCTGGCCAAGTCCCATTAGCGATGAGGAGAAGAACCAGGCTTGGGGATGCCCTCAACTACACCCTGGCCTGTTCAATTGGCTCTTCCCACGGCGGATATATTTTTTTGGCAATGCGTATGAAGGGACATTACATCGGTCGGCTCCTTCCCGGTAGGATATCGTCAGGCAGCTTGCTCGCTGTGTCATTGCGGCAGACGTTGGCTTTGGTCTTGGCAGGTCGCGGAGGGGTTTTGTTTGTATGCGGACATTCGCGGACATCGATATGTTGGCTCAATTCGTCTCTAAGTCGATGCATAAGACAGTTCGCGGCGAGATTCGGTGTTTTGGGGGGGGTCATGGCTGGTTGGAGCATCGGCACAGAACAAGACGAGTGCTACCACGATGTCAGTTGAAGTAGGTGCTTGTAAGCTGTGGCCCCAAACCTCTGTCTGTTATGAGTACTCACCCTGTTACCTCGAAGAGCATCAGGCGCTGGGCTGGCGGGGTAGAGGATCAGCCGGGCGATTCTTTAATCCAAGTTGACTGGCTGGACCGGGAAAGTAAATGCGACCGGAGACGATTGATTAATCGAGGATACAGGTGTGAGTTCCATGTTGCCTAGCAGCGCCGACCAGGGGAAGCGGGTTGGCAGGCGAGGAACGCGAACAGAGCACCGGGAAGTAGCATCGCGTATGATGCGAGGGTGTAAGATGTCGGTGTATCACTTTGTGAAAGTGCTGGACGGTGTAAGGCTGCAGCCTTACCTGTGTGGCTTGGGAACCCGCAGAACTTCCGAGAAAAGCGGCTGGCCATCGCAATCAAACGGCAATGATTGCAACCAATGCCACTCAACAGCATACATAGACGAAACAACATTGATGGACACAGCCTGGGGTCTGGATGCGGGCTGTTTCCGACGAGGCAAGCTGATGAGTCTCGGGAAGGAGCCGCCGCAAAGGTAGGCAAGTACCTACCTACCTAAGGTACCCAAGGCAAGTATTCCTTCCAGTTTGCTGCCATCAGTGAGAGACAAGCGGTGTTACATCCCAGTCCAAAGCTAATTTCGCAAGTCATTCAGAGGCTCTATTCTATAACATCAATCAATCCACAGGAAGCACGGCGCGCTATACGAGGATCTCAACCAGACTCGCACCCATTGACTGCTCCCCGATGACGCAGCGGCTTTGAATTTGGCTTTCTAGTAGGTTTCAAATCTCGCTTCAATTCCAATTATTTCACGCCTACTGACCCTTCGTTCTGCTAAATACCCGGCTCGCAGAAACAAAGAAACGACATGCCATCGAATTCCATCCTAGCTGCCCACACTCGAGGGTCCTGTTCACGAACGACTGCGATCGATTTCGGCCGATATTATAAAGAAAAATATAGTTGAAGTCCACTGGGTTGATTGTAATTATATTTTATAAGGGGAGTAGGCAGAAAGGAAAGCCGGGCATGTCGTTGACCTGTCCGTTTGCTCGAGCCTACTAGTGTCCTAGCTTCGGCTCGCTCTCTCCCCTTTGGCAATTGACACAGAAAGCACCTTTATTCGCATTAATCTCTCCGAATTTGTCTAAGCCTTCGGCGGGACGGGCGTGCCGGATGGCAGGATGCTGGAATCCAGAGCCAGGACTCCATGGGCTGGTCAATACTACAGGTCTAGGATTGGCAAAGCAAGCAACGAGACGAGAGAGACCACCCAACTGGAGGGAGACTTTATTGAGCGCCATCCCGGGCATTGGAAATTGTGCAAAGAGACAATCTTTTATAAACTTGCTTCAGAATTTTCTTGTGTTGGGTATACTTCAGGCCCTTGGCCAGAATCAAGGATCTTTTTGGGGTGCCTTGTGGGAATCAAAGGTAAGGACAATGTTACATTCGATCTAGGCGTCAAAGGCGGCTATCATGTTGAGCTAGCTAAGGGAAATATCTTGAAAACCTATTCGTAATCGCAATCGTAATCGTAATCATACTCGTAATCATACTCGTAGTAATAGCCATCGCCATCATCATCCTCATCATCCCAGCAATACTCGGCCTCAGCCTCGTCATCCTCATCCTCATCCTCATCCTCCGAAGCATCGGCCTCATCAACATCGCCTGGCTGCTCCTCAAGTACACGTCCTCGCCTGTCGTGATCAGGGTAATAATCACATCCCGAACCACCCTGCAGCTCAGGATTCTCGTACAGAGAGGGGGGCAGTGGGAAACGCTTGGGCGCCTTCAGGATGCCGAACTGGCAGCACTGCCCATCCGGTCCGTTCATCCCATAGAAACCGACAATCTCCTCGTTCGCACCCGGCTCTAGAATCCCAGTCAGCAACTCAAGTCTCCCATGCGCAAGAGCGGCTGAATGGGAAGCAATCAACTCGGAAACTTACTCATCGCTAGTGTGACCTTTGAAGCGCTCTCGTTCAAGGCACCTATGGTCTCTCCATTCGAAAGGTGTATCTGCATACCAACAAAGCGGGTTGGCTCACTGTACGCCACCGTGACTTTGGAGATTCTCCCCCTCTTTGGAAGGGTAGTCATTTGAGATGGAGCGTCTCGGCCACCGGGCTGTCCGCAATCGGCCTTGATCCCATCCTCGTAATAAATGCCTACACCCCGGAAACGGCAGTCAACTCGTATATCAATCTTGTACGCTCGCACTATCTGGCCTTGGTCATCTCGCTTTTTCAGCATGGCCGCCCAAGGGCTGTCATTCTTTGTCAAGGGATGGCCGGCGTTGACCCTTCTAAGATACATCCGCGTTCCAGGAATATTCACCGGCGGCTGGCAGGACACCACTTTCCATACCGGGAGATCCACGTGGTTTCCATTCATGGACAGCACCTTCAATCGCGCTGCCTCTTTCTGCTCAAATTCATGCTTCAGCGTCATGATGCTGAGGACAGGCTGCCGAAGCGGTTTTGACGATTCTATATCATGTAAAATACGACCGTCGATATACGCCGCAGCAATACCATCCCTGCACCGGATGGCCAATTGCTCAAGACCGGCACGTCCTCGAACATGGACCGTCGGTGCGCGGCAGTCTAGCTCTTCGTCCAGCGGGAGTGCGAAGTGACGCTGGCCTAGGAGGCGGAGCTGGTCCTCAAAAGACCATTCCCAATGAAAAGTGGCATCACCAATGGTTAGTAAGCCCTCGCCCTTGGTAGGTGATACGGGAAGGAATCGTTTGGGCCAGTCTTGCCAGTGGCCTAGTTTCACGAAGGCGGCCTCGAGAGGGATGCCAAAGGCATGGCCAATCTTCTCAAAAAAAGATCCTTGGCTCATGGCGCATGACGCCCAATTGGTTGTTCGGACATTGAAATCATTCCCCACGATATCCATAAGGCAATACGCAACCTCTTCAGAAAATCTTGGCCATGTGTACACGAGTTGAGAGCCAATCACGCCAACAGACCTGGAGCTGGGATCGTGCTTCGCAAATGAAGTGTGGCCCGAAGTGATATCTATACCTGCGTCGTAGCTAGTGTCAAGAATCAAGCCAGCAACAACGCCCTTGGGGTCAAACAAGCCGTCTTCGGTCTCCAGAGCCTTGGTGAATATCTCAAGCAGCTCATTGTGGTTCGGTGTACCTTCTGCTCGGCGTATCTCAGCGACTGTCTTGTCCGTTCTAAGCACGTGGACTTTGATCGTCGACCGATACAATGCCGAGCGACGATGATCAAGCATGGACTCAAACCTGAGAGTGTCTATCCGGTCTTCCAATTCCAAACGGAACGAGCGACGCCCAAGGCCCGCAGCATGCATCTGCTCGGCTAGCAACGCCTGACACATAGCTGCCGTCATGCGTAGCTTTTTGACAGCAGCCTCCAAGGTTGCATGATCTGCGATGCCTCCCGCTTTACACGGCGGGCAGTCCATCCTCTCAGGCGAATCGCTGGCGACAAGTATGGCGAGATGGAGGGGAGGCGTCTGCGTGAGAGGCAGGTAATTGACAGAGATCTGTGACTTGTCAGTTTCATTATCATCCCAGGCGCTTTGGCCTTTGACCAGGCGGGACATTCTGTTGCCTACCGTCGTTAAGCCCACGGCAAGATTGCTCACGATGATATCGTTCTTGCCGGGATTCAGAATCACAAGGGCCTTGAAACAGCCTCTAGACATAGGCCATTCCTGTTTGCGGCCTCCTCCTGTACTACGCTCGGATTCAGCGCTAACAGAGACAGTGACATTTGTGTGGGCGATAACGAAAGTCTGGGAGGAGCCTTTGATGAGGAGGCTCATCTGATGCACGACCTCGCCGTTCTTGACATTCTCGATGTTAAACATTTCGAGAGATGCTGCGATGCGTGGCTCATTCAGCGAGAGAGAGATGACTTTGTGTCAGCCCAACTAGTGCAAGTTTTGATGTGAAGTGTAACGGATATCTTGGATGATGATGATGGTGATGATGACGATGGGAAGGAGGGACAGGATGAAAATATTGGGGGGACAGAGCAATACCTCTCTGGCCGCCATCAAGGCTGAGCTGACAAACATGATGGTCCAATCCCATGCTCTGCAGTAAGACCTACATCGTGCGTCACACACACAAAATCACCCAATGATCTAGAACGGGGGCTGGGCGGGGGGAGCCCAAGCCTCCGTCCACGCAAACCTGACTGGTCATAGAGATAACAAAGCTGAATGCGATTGTCAATATTTGCTTTTTCAAGTGGCGGCGGTGATCTCCGAAAGTGTAGCTCGCCTAAACGCCGACACATGGGACCGATCGATGCGAATGCATGCCGCAGCATAATGAAAATGTGCTATTTCGTCAGCTAAAAATGAGGCTTCTTCTTATTAATTAGTTTGAAAGTTGCTTCGCGATGTAAATATACAAAGCCCCGTACGGGGCCAAAGGGTAAGGAAACCGAGAGGTGCATTAAAGGGCAACAGTCTGGCGAACCGATGGCAGTGTAAATCGTAGAGCCAGAAATCAAACTCGGTCTACCTATTCTCTGGCGAGGAAAATAGGGCCTGCACTTTCGAACCGAAGCTCTCTCTCATCCTGCATTGCCAAAAACCACAAACCGATACACGGGCCAATATCCTTGATAGTCTGGAATGAAAAGACAAACTTCCGCTCCCCTTCAACTCTACTCGCAAATTCAGACCGTTTGTCTAATTCGAAGACGGCCTGGCATAGTGAATCGCCACCCTCGCAGTTTTCTGGAGCTCGTAATGATTGGCCTCGATCAGTGTGCAGCTATTGTCCAAGTATTAATTAATCGGCGGCTTCAAGAGGCCAAGGCCCCAAGATCAAAACTTACCTCTATCGACAAAATTCTGGTCTCTTGTTCTTTGACAGCTAGAATGACAATGTTCTCGCCCTGAGCAAGAGACAGGGTGTAGACTTCGCCTGAATTCGATCCCAGCCTAGTCGTAATCCCGAGCTCGTGCACGAATTCAATGCCAACGAGGGCTTTCTCGACAAAAATCATGTGAATTTCAAGGAGCCTGGCCCACTGACCATCAGGGGACCTTTCCCTCTAGAAGAATGTCTCCCTCAAAGCAAGTCGCCTCAGAGCGGGGTTAGTCAGTCTTGGTGTCTCAGCTCCACCAACTTGACGGTAAACACGAGAGGTCCTGGCCGAAAGATCAGGTGGCCGGCGCAGCCTTGGCAGGTCATACAAAATGAGACAGGAGCTCACACTTGAGAGTATTGACTGGTGTTTAATTTGGACTTCATCGAAGTATGAGCCGAATGCCCACATCATATCTCGCTAAGGTTGTGTTAGCAAGCTTGTCCCGTTCTTTCAAATGCGATGCAGCCTTACCAATTCTTCATACGGTGTCGAGCGCCAGTGCATAGATATGCAAGGAAGGCTGGAATCCGTTCTAAACTCGTGTTGCTGGCCGGAAGACGTAATGAACTTGATGCCGATGACTCTTCCAAAGCTTTCCATCCTCAAAGGCGTTTCGGCTTCCAAAGTAGACCACACTGAAACGTGCGTCAAGGACTCGGTCGGTGTAAGGTCAAAGGATCCCACCTCATGAATCCACTGGCCAAGAATAACATCATCACCTCGAATGTATTCAATCCAGAGTCCGCTAATATTTTCGGGGGATCTGGAACGCCCCGGAAGACCGGAAGAGACCCGAACTCGCTTGATCCCGCGCAAGGAAGCGGCTCCAAAACAGCTGCCCTCCGATCCAAGCATCCAGTAAGCCGAATGTTGGATCCAGTCTTTGGTCACTTCTATACTATTGCCTTTGCGGAGAGATCTCTGGTTTTCGAATGGACTTGTGCGGTGGTGTGTTTCAGCACCATTCAGGACATGAAAACTTTCCCATGGAATATGGGGTGGCTATTGGGGTCAGCAAAGGTGGCTCGAGCATAACATGGCAATGGACAATAAGAAGAAAATTGGGGGGGAACAATACGCACATTACAGGTAGCAACTATTGCTATCGGGAGCTTGTCATGCGATGCGTCGATACTCAGGGAGGAAATATCTCCCGGGGGTCGGGGGAGGCCATCGTGTATTTGAAAGTTCATAAAACGACCGTTATTCGTAGAGACCTAGAGCAACAAGAAACGTTAGATAATACTGAAGGTATGGGGACGTCTTAAGATAGGGCTATTGAAACACAATACTTACCTTGATGGAAAAAATTATCTGCTTGTGGTATGTCGAGCTCTGTGCACGACGTACCTCGAAGGAGGTTACGCGTTCACCACCTTGTCCGTCAATGGTGAATGTGGGCTCAATGCAGGGCAAATAGGTCCCATTTTCGTCCTCAAGAATGGAATCCTTTCCAATTAATATGTCTTGGTTATTGTCATAACCAAAGCGAAACCCGTGGAAACCCGTGCGAGAAAACACATAAGCTGTGATGCGATTCAAAGATGACAGCGTCTGTCCGTTGCTGCCACCAAACCCCATGTATAAGTGAAGATGGAAGCCACCCGAGGTTTCAGAAATCCCAGGCAGATGAGGCTGCAATTCTGCGTGCTCCTTCAATGGTGCTGGATTCCATAGCCTGTGCGAGCTATTGTCCGTCGTAACTGCGGCCACGGAGCCATAACAGTCTTCAACTACCTTGATCGCCACCGCCTTGATTTCCTACCAGAACAGTCAAAATAAGTTAGCATGCCAATAGTGTCCAAGGGAAATCATACTCACATCGAAATCGATCACCATGCCCGTCAGGTTCTTTGTCCCTTGTAGCACTGTCTTGCCAAACGAGCTATCAAGGCAGGTGGTCGCTCCCACGGCCACTAAAGCCGCCTCACCGCAGCGGTCAAGGTGGAATACTAGACCGTGAATGCCCAAAACAGAAGCTGTGACCTCAACAGCAAGAATCTTCTCAGTTGATTGTATCTCGATGTGCTCTTCCGTGGATGGAATGACTGTCCCAATGCTGACGGGACCAAAAGCTTGGCCGGAATGATCCAGACAGTAGGATCTAAACCCTGATATGTACACCTTGCAATCATAGTGTAAAAAAGAAACCGACAAGTTTAGTGATACAGCAGGAGGCGGTGCAACAAGGTTGATTTGCAATCTCGCGATGGGCTGCACACCATGCCTGAGTTGGGGCTCACGGACGTCCGTCTTAACCAGTAGAGGGCATGAAAACGAAAACCGGGAAGGATCGTGTGGGGTTACAACCTGGCTAGAACTTTGGAACTCGGCGTTGTCCGTAAGACAATGTGTACCTTGATGAAGCAGCTGTTCAGCCGCGAGGGCAAAATCTGTCACACAACGGTAAATACGCTGCCGATTTCGGATCCCTGGAATTTCCTCCCCAGTTCTTAGAACTTCGGTATACTCTTTATAGAGGAGTCGCCATGGTTTCTTGGTGTCTGACTGTTGAGGCTTCTCATGGGCGAAAACAAACCCAAGCTCCCGATTCAGCGCAAATCTAGTCGCCCAGAATGCCTGAGGTAACAATTTGGGAGTAGATGCCGACGCGACAGAGCGCGAAGCCGCTCGAAGATTAGAGAAGTCCTTCGAAGATAGGTTCCCAAGAATCTGGCAGATAATTTCCTGTGGAAGTCGGTCAAAGACATCAGCTGGGGAATCATGCTTGATCAAATCCAGGGTTGAACAGGATGCTTCTTCACTCCCGATAGAATTGCCGGTGATGGATAGCACTTCGTTTGGATCCGAAAGCAAAAATGAAAGCTCGGACTCGCACTTTCTCATGTCTGTCGCTCCATGATACCGATTTTCAGGCACCAGGCAATGAAAGGTTGCCCTGGGCAAGTTATCAAGCTGCCAAAAGAGCGTCTCAGCAAGCCTGGTCTCTCTCGATTCTCCGGGTAGGCTGCATCTGACACGGGTCTTGAAAAGCTCCCAACAGAAGTCATGCAGCGCGTAGGCCCGAGGCCGGTAGGTGGATGGATCGTGAAAGAGCGAAACTTCTTCAGCCTCGTCCACATCCTCGTCCACATCCTCGTCCAAGAATGGGGGAAAGTTGTTACTGGGGCCGATGTCTCCGTTGCTGTTGATTGAAATGTGAAACTCATGTGCGTAGCCAACCTCAGTCAGCGTAACATCGCGACGGCTCTGGTCAACGCGGACTTTGCTTTGTTAGATTGTTGTAGATCCTCGCTCAACAACAACGGCACGTCTTACCTGCTCGAGCCTTGCGAGACCATGGCACCGGAGACGGATCGGGACCCGGATCGAGATCGTACCTCTCGAAGGGTCCCCCGCAAAGACCACAGAAAGCGCCGACCGACATGGAAGCAGATGTGCGAACTTTGATTCGAAAATACAACAAAGCTGTCAAACTGCGGGACACCTTGGAGTTGTGTGGGAGGTGGACAATTTGTTGTATAGGTGCACTTGCATGCTGAGTTTCTTCTGAGAATCGACTCTGCCTCAGGCTAACACACCAGGCAGGCACCAACCTCAGGTTCACATTTTGCTTTGCGCGCGAGGCAGGCACCAGGCGCAGGAGAGCAAGCCCTGTGGACCACCGAAGTCCCCTTAGAGGAAACCAGGCAGGCACCTACCTGCTTCAGTAGCTGTCTCTCTGGTTCCCGGGAAGGATCAATCCTCTAGGTCCAACAGCTGGCTGGCATCGCAGTGTACCTCCCGGCTGTGAGCACTCAGCTCTCCTCAACTCATTACTTCCACCAGTCTATCAATTTCTATCCAGTTGGCATTCTCTTCGCGGGCTTCAGGATAACCAAATCACTATAAGTCTATAACTCTGAGCTGGGCAGCCGCCTGACAGATTAGAGGAGACTTCGTCTACATCCTAAGATCAAAGGTTACGATGTTTCAAGCGATGGCTACAGCCACCCTCGCTTACAAGCGAGGCACTCGGCTAACTTCTTGCAGGTGTACAATTGGGGGGAGGATACTCGAGTGATGGAGGTCCCTAGGCTAGCAACTGCCCATGGTAGCGGTTTTCTGGTCATGATTGCGCCAGTCTCATGTGGCCCAGCCAAGCGACAAGTCTAATGGTTCTGTCCATTCCGGTAACTAACCCCCAGTTTGTTCATCCCAACTTCAATTACCTCGCATATCTTTCTAACGCAATTGAGCCTACCTAGCCTCGGAATCATTTCGTCCGCCGTCATTCCTCTCCATCGCGGTTGAAGTCGCCGTTTGCAACGCCAAAGCTCCCATCCACGAGTGCTCTTCCAGCCCCAGAGAAATTCACCCATCAGCATTTTCCATGGCGAGCCCAGGCCGATAAATAGATGGTAAAGCTCAAATAAAATGGTTGAGATTTCGTCCCATGATCGAATCATACCGTCCTCTGAACTTTGAGGATCAGATGATGGCCTGCAACTTGACCAAACTGCCATGATCAGCCAGCCACTCTTGAGGGCCGACTAACAACAGTCAACAAGGCAAGATCATGCTGGAATAGGACTGCCATGGCATCACATCCTCAGGGTCGAGGAATACCGTGGTTTTAAGGGTCTTCGGGACAACGAGAATGTTGGAAGGGCCAAGGTCGTCACAAAAAATTGTTGGTGGGCCAGTGTCATGGACGCAGCGCTTCAGGACGACCTGGGTAAGTCGGTTGCGGACTACGAAGTGCACCTTAGCAATCGCCCGTTCATCTGTGAGAATGTTCAGAACCAAAGATGGCCCAGGCAACAGACTTGAAGCATTGGCCGGGCAGATCAAGACTTACAAAGGTTGGCCACAGATCAGCTGGCTACCCTACGGTTATCGCCAGCTCATTCATGTTCTACATCAACAAATCTTCGAGGGACTGACGAGATTCTATCATTCATAGAGATTAATAGTCACTCATTTGAGGGAGAATATAAATTGAGAGAGCTGAAATATCAAAATTGTTCAACATTGAGCTATCTATGTTTGATTGTTGGCCACTCCCAGTCTGTTTCTGCATGACCAGCATCCAGAACTCTCCTCCATCACAGGTCGAAAAGTCTACCAGCTCAGCCTTGGCGTCGAAAACTCTACTTGAACAAGCTCTACATTGATAATCTCCTCTCGTCTCTATCTAATTGAAGCAAATCTTGAACGTGTAGGTATCTATTCCAATATTCAATGATACATCGTGTCTTCGGGGCATTACATAACGTCCCCCGACATGTGCTTACCCTACATGATGATGCTTATGACGACAGTTTACGGCGACATCTCGGTGGATGTCGCCACTAACACGGTCCACCAACCCACCTGTGGGCACGACGATCAGTGTCTAGCATCTGCCTCACAAACCATGCTCATACCGTTAGAGCCAACGAACTCTCGCAAGCGACGGGAAATACCGAGAGATTCGCTGTCATCTCGACAACGACCGCCCTATTCCCAGCCCTTCGCCGCCCGCCGTCCAACACACCCATGCCCCCTCGGCAGGGTAGCTTCGCGTCGGATGGTTTAGCGACCTGACCAGGCAGAGCCGTTCTCAGGCATATCCCCCGAGGAGATCTCGGTAGTTGCGACCTCTTTTCGGATTCGTATGGAACTCGCAAAGCAGGAGAGGGAACAAAAGACACAGCCAACAAGAGAGAGACCGAGTTGCTGGGCTTCCAGGCAGGAAATGCGTCAGGGTCAGGGCCTTGAGAAATCGTGGCAAGTCCCCGAGATGAGACGAGTGTGCCATGCCGGCACCAGCCTTGCGGGAAGAGAGGGGGGGAGCTCGGGGCACGATGCAGTCCAAATCCTGCCCCCCAAGAAGTGAGCACCAACCAGGTATTCGTGGTTTGCTAGCTCCTTGTGCGCGAGCCAGTGTGCAGCAGGCCCGCGGAGCCCTTCCGGCGACCATTTCCTAAGGGAGGTAAGGTTTTGGCCCGCACACGAAACCTGAACCGGGGTTGCGACCAACCTGGGGGGGCTCCCCTTTTGCGATGGCCGCCAAGTTCGAACCCACCCTGCCTGCTGCTACCGTTTATCCGGTCAAGCCTACCCACACCCCTAGCTCGCTTCTTGGCTCTCTCCTCGCGTCGTCTCCTCTCTCAATTTTGGGCTGGGGGCAGAGGTAATAATGAGGCCACCTTGAGGTAGCATTATGCGCTGGTGGCAGCGCGGTGGTCGAGGCGGTTACATTGGGGTGAACTGGCATGCGACGATGCCAGAGTCCAATGCCACCAGGCGCCCGGTGGCTACCGTGTGATTTCTCCATGGCAGTCTCACGATGCCCACATGACCGATATTTCCCATTGAAAACAACCTCATCTCCCCCTCATAAGCCCTTGAACGGGCGGCGCAACCGGGGGCCGGAAGCGCCTCCCACCCTCCCTTGAGGAGCTGGCGTTGGGACGTCGAGCCAGTCTGCATCCATGATCCCTCATTGCAACCCTTAATTATAGAATTTCCAATATCACCGTCCCCTCCCCACTGACGCTGACCTGGCGAGTTTTCTCGCCCCCCCTCGGGTCGCATCGCAGACTGCCCGTCGTATTATGGGGAAGCGTGGCAGCGGCCCAGTCGCGGAACACCCGAGGTTAGGCTCGAGTTGCAGATGCAATGCATATATCAATATAGTATCGGGGCATTTCTTTCTCCCAACCGTTCAAAAGGAGGTCCAAGGCCGCGCACGCACTCCCCAATTTAACTCGCTTCCTTCGGCCTGGCTGGGGCTGATTGGAGAGGGGAGAACAAGTCAGGCTGCGGGTGCGGTGCCCAGCCGGTTCTGTCAAGGTCGCATGTAGGGGGAAGTGTGGGGGAAGACCAGCGCTGCGACACGCTACAGCACACTAATTGGCACGTCGTTGCGGCCCGCGGTGTTAGCTGGCACAGTGGCATTGGCACCAGCGACGGCGCCCTCCATCTGCGTGCATTGGCTCCAGCTGCATCAAGGGGGCTGCCTGGCAACCTGGCAGGCCGTTCGAGGTGGAATGGAATGGGCATTTGAGGAGATTGAACGGAATTGAACGCACGCCCGCCGCAAAGCTGATGGGCCTCTGCGGAGCGGGCGGCAAGTCGATTCGTCTGCTTTAAGTGGTCCGACCCCACGGAAGATCGTCCTACTGTACAGTTCACATCATGCGTCACAGCGGAGAAGGAAAGAACAGCATCAATTTAAAACTCACAAGAGAACTGACAGACTTTCCCAAGCGACCTCCCCTCCACTCCCCTCCCCTCCCGGTACGTTTGCCAGCCGTCGTGAGATGCACTACTACCGAAGGGCCTAAAGACCGCTCCAGGTTGTTAGTGTGTCATACAGGCCCGTACCTTTTGATTTTCCAATTTGCCCGCTTATTCCCTGTTAACGCCCGCCTCGTGATCCAACCCAACCTGGCCCAGTCCAGTCGAGCTCCTGATTCATGCTGAAAGCAGTTGAATCTCCGCCCCCAGGTTCATGATGGGGGAATAACGCCCGTCTGCCCTTGTATGCCTGTCCAATCCAATCCAATCTAGTCTAACTCCTGATTCATACTCAAGATAGATGAATCCACACCCCAGGTACGTCATGGGGAGAGCACACGCCCTATCCGTCCAAAGATAGACGGGAATAGAGACGTGTGATACCAATCATTCATAATCGTTCCATCCACCAAAGGAAATGCATAGAAAATAAACCAGCCGTCAGTCCTTAGCTAAAAGAATGAATAGTTAAAGAATGACACAAGGAAATAACAGGAAAGCAATACTGACGTCAAGTCAGATATTACCTAGGCCACATAGAGAGACAGCACCGGCAATGACCTCACATTGCTCCTCTGGGGTGCCATCTAGCTCGACCTCCATGATGACTGCGCCGTGGTCAGGTGCATAGCCGAACAGCCTCTGATGGGCAGCGCGGAGTGTGGCGATTACCTCCTGCGCTTTGGCAATGTTGGGACCTGTGAAGTGATAATACAACCAGACGAGATCGCGCATGTAGTTCGGGTTGATGGATCCTGGCTCGGCTAGCTCCAGGACGAGTTCAAGAAGCGCATGGGATCCGTAGATGGCCGCTTGGCAGGCAAAGCCCAGCGCAGACGGGTCTGATTGGCCGATGGGGTAGCCCATCTGGACCAGCGTGGCGAGGCGTTCGGCCTGGGGCGCGACAGATTTATCTTCCACGACGTTGTTCTCCCACGTCATGTAACAGTACCTCCAGAGCATCATCGGGTCGCCATCAATGGTCGCCTTGCCACCTGCCGATATGAGCATTCTCATGCACTCGATGCTCTTGGCGCCTACGGCGGCAAAAACCAGGGGGCAGTCTCCAAACCGGGGCTCATGGATGTTGTGTGGCTTGTCAAGACCGATCCCGCCTCTATTAACGTCAATGCCGAAGTCGATGAGATATGACAGCACCTCAGCTTGACATGTGCGTGGTTCTTTGAGCATGGCCTGGACCAGCGTGAGACCACCAGTCCCGTAGACGACTGTGCTATCGATAATATCGCCCGAAACCGTCATGCCAGCCTGCAGTAGGACATGTGCACACTCCAGGTTCATCACACAAAGGCAATGAAGCAACATATCGGGCTTCTCGACCCCGTCGGGGTAGAGCGGCGCCCCGGCAAAGATCAGGTACCGAATCACCTCGGCGGAGTCTGAGCCCTCTCGTTTCTCGCAAGCTAATCGGAGAACGGACTCGCTGCCGAGACCGATGGCTTTGATGTCTGCGTCGGATTGCTCTGTAAGCAACTTGACCATTTCCAGCTGGCCATTGTAGGCAGCCAGGTGGAGGCCATTCAGACCGTAGTAGTCCAACTCGTGGCCGTCGATGGCGGGGTGGGCGAGTAGCATCTGGACCACGGGCACCATGCCATATCGAACAGCCTGCAGAAAGGGTGTGCGCCCGTAGCCGTCTATGGCACACACATTAATGTCCGGGTGCTGACACAGGAACTCTACAACGGCTGTCGCATCCTCAATAGTGGCTGGGTGGGCTCCGGACGAGCTGACAGCAAGGTGGAGGGCAGTCTCTTGCGCCGTATTGGTGGCTTTGGCAAGACTGGCGCCTGGCCTGTCGAGAAGGTGGGTCAGAAGTGCCAGATCCTTGGTAGACGCGGCAAAGAGGAGCTGGGCATTTTGCGACACCGGGTCAGTCCTGTTGAGCATGTACTGCCGGACGAGGTCCATGTGGCCGCTTCTGAAGAGGCCGAAGATGGCCGAGACATTTTTGGCAACGAGGTATGCTCCGTGCTCCACAAGGCACCGGACATCTTGAGGCCTTCCGTGGACAAGGGCCGTATGCAGAGGATAGACCGGCTCCAGAGTGTCTGTAGACATGTGATGATATAGCTTCCAGTCCACGTTGCAGTCTACACAGAGCGTAGGACTGGATGGTGCATGAACGTTGGCTCCGTTCTCCACGAGGAATGCGGTCACATTGCTGTGTCCATTGTGGAGGGCGCAGTGGAGGGGGTTGACTTCTATGGCATTGTTGGCCCTCTCATTCTGTTGGTCAAACTTGAAGCCGTACTGCCGGGCTTTCAACATTGTCCCGAGACTGCCAAATTCGGCAGCCCATCTAACACATGATAGGAGTGCGCTGTCATACTTTTTATTGCGCTTGTACAGCTCCGGTTCAAGAAGGCGGTGGAAACGAGTGTTCACGCGGGCTAGGCTTGAATGATGTCGTGCGTAGCTAGCCGGGTGTTGCCAATGGCCCGCCTCCTCATCCCAGGTGGACACCTCGGCGATGTGGATAATGATTTCAGGGGGCACCCTGTCGAATACGCTCCCGGAAGTGGGAGCATCTTCGTCTTGGATGATGTCCATCTCCACAACCTCATCATCAGCCTCCACCCATGTGGGACTCTGCTCCAGCTCCGGAGCCTGCGCCTGAGCCATCTTATGCAGGGCTTGTCAGAGCAGAGTGCTCTAAACTTCAATGTTACGACGAGAAGGCAATTGGGGGGAGACCCTCGGCGCTACGTAGCATGATCGTCAGCCCAAGGTCCATGAATCCAAGAGCCAGACAGGGGGGCAAACAAGAAACAGGTGGGAACTCACCGCTGTAGCAGCTCAGCAAGAGGGCAATTGGGGATACGTGTGTGTGTGTGATTGTGCGTGTGTGATGTGATGTGTGTGCGCTCGTCACGTCTGGCTCGTTCTCTCCAGGTGCGGCCCCACCGTTCCCGAGAGAGCGATGCGACTGTAATTGCCAATTCTACGTGAAGATTGTTAGCTTGAGGGCACTAGGCACTGGCGGCTTTGGAGATGGGATGATGGCCATACGTTACAGGGGCGTTGGATCGCAGAGAGGTGTTAGCTCCTAGCCCTAGGCTGGATTATTTGCACTTGGCCAACTTAGCAGATGCTGTTGGCTCGTCTCAGCAGCCAAACAGGGCCTGGGCAGGGTGCTTCACAGGGTGCCGGTGTGTACCCCTGGTGTGTGTCGCCGGTGAATGGTTGCTTGAGGGCGCCTAGCAGGCTAGGGCCAGTTAGAGGCACGGGGGAGCCGACGCAGGTACAGATTATCGACTCACAAGCTGTGATTCTGGCTCCTGAGACTGAGGCGAGCTAGTTGCCCCCCGTCCAGGGCAGGAGGAGTCTTTGCAAGATTAGGTTTGGTCAAACGTCGGTTGGTCCCAACAACCGTTAGAGAGGGACAGGGTAGGTTAGGTGAGGTGGTAGAGGAGGAGGAGATGGGCATCAGATCAGGGTAGAGTGCACCAAGCAGGGGGAGGACGGGGGTAATAAGGTAGGATGTTATGCAGCACCAAGGGTCGCTGGATCTCCCCGCGGGTCGGAATAATCACTCTCCGTGCAGTAAGGCTCTGGGCTCGGGAAAGTTGCCAACTGGGGGGAAGAGAGAAGAACGCCGAGTCCAGGTCGGTCAAGAGGCAGTGAGGGGACAAGACGAGGGAGTACGAGGGAATGTGCAGTTCCAGGCTGCAGCCACCCACCCCCGTGTCCAAGTCGACGACGTAGGTGTCCATCGGAGCTCCCGTACTCGACTTACCTGACCTACAATACATGTACATGCACTGTACCACAAGAATTGCATATTCAGAATCCATCGCGGACCGCACCTTGTCGACCAGTGGAGGAGGTGGAGGACCCGCCTTGGCGTGGTAAGCAAGCAGCTGCTACTGGTGCCGCTGCTCGTGACGGATACTGTTTCTAGAGGCCTGTGCAGCAGCTCTTGCAGCCAGGGCGCCGACTACTGCAGTCATGCTGGCTGGTAGTGTCGGTGGAGGCTGTCAATAATTGTCGGTGTCGAGCCTTGTTGCGAGTGTGGTCAGTCCATCTCTCTGTCGCTTATTTGTCCCTGCCCGCCTCTGGCCAATCACCTGCAGCCCAAACCAATCGCCCGCCCACCAACTTGACTCCTCACAAGACGCCCCTGTACTCCCACCGATTTCCTTCACCTCTGTCATACCCAACCTGGGCTGGAGTCCCTGCCACCTGAGCTGGGATTGGCAAGGAGAGACACGCTCTCTCTGGCATTCGTTTGTACCATGTAAATAATCGCCGACCGGTCGTGTGTGATTATTACGCACACCACCCAGTGAATCAAGGCAACATCCGGTGGCTTGCGCTCAGGGCGCTTTATTGCAGCGGTACAAACGACAGGCTTTCTGACATGTCACCTCCTCGAGGTGCACAGGTCAGCAGTTGACAATGCTACGGAGACATTAACCATGCCACGCCTGGGTGTAGACATACCCCGGTTCTGCTCCTCTCATGTGGGGAATTCCGGGACGCGGAGGCCATCTCATACCCGAAGGTGCTATCCGAGACGCTTGGGGGGAAACTTCATGCTCCTGCCTGGCCGATAATGTGGTCGATGATGGAACTTTCAGACATGTCGAAAAAGGCGGTGGTCGTACACAGTGCACCTATCTAAGTCGTGCTTGAGGAGAAATACTTTGAGTACTTTTGGAAGTGGCTTGCAGGAGTGATGTCTTGGATGATGGCCAAGGACTTGGCTGTGTGCAGCGAGGTCACCCTCAGGTAGACATTCGACGGCAGCTTGGGGAAAAGATTCTTGCTCTGGTACATGCTCTGGTCCTTGCTTTGCCCGTCTTCTAGACCCATGATGGCAAGCCTAGGCGTCATGGAAAGCATTGAAGGCCGTACACAGTACAGCGCAAGCTGGCCGGGAGCATGCCTTTGTGCACACCATTCCAGACCGGCTAGGCCATCCCACCTTACACAACTCAGCATTGTCTGAGTCTTGAAAAAAAGAAATAACAAGAATATGAAGGAAAAGAGAGGGGGGAAAGGGGCTGGCTAGATGTTCCTTCGAGCCCAGACCAGCTCTTCGGGTGTAGTAGCTTTTGTCGGAGCCAAAAGGAAACCTGAAAACCTCCCAAAAATGCTGTCGAAAGTACAGCAGCGTTGAGAAATGGGACATGGCCAATGCCCTCCTCCATTTGTTACTTAGTAGAGGAAAAGAAAACAATAAGTCAACTCAAGCTTACTATCCGTCCCATCCACGACCAGAGCCCTGAAGCTGTTTGCGTTGAGGGAGGCCCAGGAGGCGATGCTCAGCAGCCCTCCTTCCTCTGCTATAGTCTTTTCGTAAGACGGCACTGCTCGATTTTGCACATGGTTGATGTGGAGCAGACCTAGTACGTAGTCTACTTGCCGCGACGATCGATCGCATGAAGCCGCACGGAGCTGACCGGTGTATTCTCGTCACAGCCCGCTATGCCTGCAGGCGCCCGGTCAAGGAGTTTGGTCGTGGCGGCATCTACCGTTGAGGAAGGGGTTTCAAGCGAGGGGGGACAACTCTTTTCGCGGCGATCGCCCGGTGGTATTTTCCTGAAAAAAAAAAAAAAAAAGTGGCTGGCTGGCTGATGCAACGGGCGTTGGAATAACGGGAATTCCAGCCCAATGCTATGGAGTGGGAGCATGCTCCTGGGTGACGGTTGATAGTCCCTCTCGACGAAGCTCCCTTCGGTCAAGCAAAGCCCCGGTACTCATTGAGACAAGGCCCCCTGCCCGCCGTGGCTCTGGAATTAGATAGGCCATAAATAGCGGTAGCGATTCGCCGTTGACAGATGCACATACCATACATGTACATCGTATGCATCTGAAGGAACTGCATCCCTCAAATCTTCCAGGAGAGTACGTAAGACAGCCCAGAGGTTTGCGTGCTGCCTAAGCGCTGATCATCTTCCGTCTTGGGTCCCCACCGGAAGCCGTTCCCCATCCCCCACCAATCACTGTGAAACATTACAGGTGCCATTGATGCTTGCTACCACCATGGACGGACTGCTCCATCAGCCAGGCAGGGCAGCCAGAGTCGGTCTCAGTAGGTGCTGGACAGGAGAACCTGGTTTGGTTAATACACCCCGTCTCAGTCGAATGAAACACTGCCACCGTGCTTTCATGTATGTCTCTGTTGCAGCCATGCCATAATCAAACTAATCCAGCACGCCTGCCCGCAAAGGTCACCCGGAACCTGCGGGCACTCATCTGCCAGCTACGTATGTATGTACGGAGATGGTTGACCGCTGCGTAATGTGCTGAGAAGGACCAAGAGCCCTGCCGACGGGGACCAGGATCGGTGGTTTAGCAGCTCGCTAGCCAGCCCAAGCACCAACCGAGAGTCCAGGGGCAGCCGTTAGGCCTGCCTGCTTGCTTAGGCGCTCTGGATGACCGAACCCCTCCTGCATTGAAGGCTAGGGATGCTGGCTGGCCACTCCACCGTATCAGAGATCTGCTTACCCGCCCCGACCGGCTGCGCCCGCGAGCATCCACCACCCCCTCCCCCTTCATCAGAGTTCTAGCCTGATGAGATTGCTAACTCTGCACGCCCCCAGGTTTTTCCCGACCGCCGGCATGCAGAATGACAGGCAAAGGCCTTCATCACCGCCCGTGCGATTTTGCATTCCTATCACATCGCATGAGAGTCTAGACGCCGATCGGGCACAAAGGGAGGAGGACAAGGTCTCGCTGAAACAGAGGCGCCAGCCTCTCTGCAAAAGACGACGAAGCGAGGTTAGTTGGAAAAGAAGGAATCTTGTAGGCCGCTCAGCTCGCTCATGGCTGCTGATCGGGTGATCACTCGTATTCTTTTTGCCTCTTCTCATGTCAACAGTAACATGTCATTTTTTAGCCATGGCCATAGCAGGCGAAGATCCCTCTCGCCGGTCTCTTCATTCTTTCTGGATCTTATCTGAAAGCGCTAGCTCCTTCGGCAGTGTGTATCAAGTCTAGTGAGCTCCTCAGCTCGATCTGAGGAGTCGTAGTGGTGGGATGGATTCATTAGTCTCTCCTCGACCACACCCACTCTTTGTTCCCTGACCAATAACGTCAAGCCTGGATGCGTGTCTTGTGTGCTTGCGTGCGTGTCTCCTCCTTCTTGCGGGCGCCCCCGCTCCGTTGTGCAACCCGAGTTAGGCTCCATCGCCCTGGTATGGTGAGAGAGAAATATTTATTTTTACACGAGAACGGCTCCTTGCATTAGGTGGTAAATATGAGGGGCGATACCGATATCGATTCGACTTGTCCACCCTTGCGAAAGATAGCTTGCAGCCGACAGCCGCAGCAAGCCCAAGATGAGGTGGCGATATTGTTTGTAGCTTCGGCAAGATTCAGATGTCGCATAATCATGTTGTAGCGACCAAAGGAAAGGCAACCAATGTAAAACATGCAGGACTATTTGAATTCGGCTCCAAGATGGCCCCATCCATGTCCACACGACATGCTGCAGGTCATTTGAAAGGGAGAACCTAACCTGCGTTGGGCACATCCACGTAGCTTACGCCCAAACACATAGACCATGGAAAAGCCCGGTTCGACATCCGGACGCACTTGGCGGCGAGGTGCGTCTTGATGGCGGTGGCACAGACGAAGCTAGCAGTACCAATGCAGGTGATGAACAAGATTTGCTTCACGCGAAAGGGTTGGGCAGCCCAGCTGAGACGCAGCTTCCTGTCTGACGCTCTGGGGGCAGCTGACAGTCTGGGAAATGGAAGCTCTGGGTTGAGTCGGATGTCACGGCAAGATTATCCCGGGGGAAGCAGAGAGCTGCAAGCTATCTTGAGATATCACCGTGTCCGGACTTGACACCAGTGTTCTGACGGCAAGGGAGAAGAGAGATCGATGCAAGACTTGTGATATGAGAAACTTGGCCATGGTCGATTATGGGGCCACCCGTGTTTGAGTCCGGAAAGTTCCCTGCGGTAAGCACAATGATAAATTTGAGTGAAGGCGATCAGGGTCATGGATGCCAGCCGCCCCCCCTCCCCCCGTTCCCCGCCCCGCTGCTCCGATCACAGTCTGAAAGCTGGTTGGAAGCCTTATTGCATGGTGAATTATCGACTGGTCGTTTCTTTTGGGAATGTGCAACCACACGAAAGCCTGCGTGGTCCAGACCGGGCCGTGGAATGTGCCACCATGACGCTCGGTGTGCACCTCATCTCGCTTTTATTTGATGAGCCGGCTGCAGTGCCAGTCGCAGTGAAATTAGCCGTGTTTTGAAAGCAACAAATCACGGTCGGCCCCGTTGTGTGCGTGTGATGTACGGCTGGACATTGGGATTGATGGCGGGGGTGAGTGGCATTACTAGAGAGTGGTGACAACCTCCATGTAAAGTACATTGTCGCGGTGCATGAATTGTGATGCGAGCGAACGAGCGATGTCCGACCGATGGATGGATGGAGGGATGGATGCCTGCACGGTCGGTCGGCTGCCGTTGCTGTGTACATCCAGTAATACATGCAATTGCAGGCCGGGCTGATTGGACGTATGCACATGCAGTGGCATGGCAGCTGGACGCACCGTCGTCGAGCCTGCGGCGGCCAGCCAGTTGGAGCACACCTGGCAGAATGATCCAGTCGTCATGGGGCCGTATCGGAGCATGTCGGTGGCATTTCGCAGCTGGCGTCGTGTGTGCATTGAGACATGGCGTCCGGATGCTGGCGCGATTCGCTGGCGGGTGGTTTTGTTGGGGGATTGATTTGCACAGTCGAGGAGGCCATGGCGGCAGGTGTGTGTGATGTGATAGGCGTGTTGTGTTGGTCAGCCCGCGAGGAGGGTGTGTGCCGGTGAGGGTACCTTGGGGATAGTGTGGGTGACATCCTGGCCCAAACAGTACCTGGAGGCACTGGGCGTACCCGCCGCATCAGCACTGGGCCAGGGCCGGCCGGCGGATGATCGTTCCGCCGTCTGCAGCTTGCTGGCAAGGACCTGGCCCAAACCAGACAGGGACAGGAGAGAGGACAGGACAGGAGAGGAGAAGAGAGGGGGAACCAGCCAGCCTGAGCATGGTCCAAGAGCCAAGAGCCCCCAAGCACCAGCCAGCCTCCAGCTATATAACACAGAGCGGGGCCGCCTCAGGACGACCACTTTTACCCCTCTGATGCTCAAGCTTCATCCACACCAACCAAGAACACCAGTATCAATCATCACTTCTCATCCCGCAACCATGATCGAAACACGCTACAAAGGACCGCCCGCTCGCATTAAGGGCAATCCCTGGTGAGTGAGCCCGTCGCCGTGCGATGAATTTATCATCAATCCCATCATTGTCGTCTCAGTTTGCCCTCTCATTCTCATCGCATCTCATCTCATCCAACTCCGTCGTGGTCGTGATCATGCCGAGGCATGCTTCATCTCTGGCCCGCACCCCCCCAACGCATCACCAAGTTTGTTTTTTTCGTCCCGTCCAGCCCTTCGCGCAAAACTCGACCGTTTTTCTCAAACGGGTACATCCATTGCACAATCATCCGTGACTTGTTTGCCCGACCCGTCTTTGCCTCTCTTGTTCTTTTCATGATGTAGAGCTTCTTCCCAACAAGCGTTGATGAACGCTTCTTCGCGCACTCTCTGTCTCTTGCTTACTTAAAGCGGGCTTTGATTGAAATGTTGCTCTGGCCGTTCTTGGTCTTTCATTAACGCGTCTTCATTTCCCGCTGTCAACATGTGGCCTTTTTCTTCTCTCTCTCCTTGCTTCTTCATTTGCTGTTTTGAGATCATTTAAGCTGACTCTGCGTTTGTCCCCCTGGGCTTTAGTGAGATGCCAGGCACTGCTATCTGCAATTCTGTCATCCAGGTGGCCCCTAACGCATGGAGGCTGGGCGAACTCATCATCTGTGAGAGGGTAGGCACCGGGCCTGTCAACGGCGCTGCCATTACCACCTGGAGAGATGATGAGGGAATCCTGTGGTATCTGCGCAGGGGAAGGAAATCCGACTCAAGGTATTACCCAAACGGCCGATTCGCCGTTCCTTACCACAAATCCGGAACCTCTGGAGCCATCTGGAAGCTCGGCGGCATGTTTGTCAAAGTCAAATCATGGGGCGAGGGCATGGATCCGGAGTCGGACACGCTCAAGCTCATTTATGAGTCGTGCCCAGGTGTGCCTGTCCCACGAGTCGTCGCTCACTGGGTCGACATGGACACGCAAAGGTCCTTCCTGATTCTCAGACCTTTGCGCGGTCAGATACTTCTGCACGCCTGGCCCTCCCTGTCGCCCGAGCTTCGTCAATACGTTGCCAACCAGATCGCCGACGTTTGTGAGATCCTTGCCAAGCACACCGCCACCTACATGGGAAGCGCTGCGAATCCTTTGAACGGCTGTCGTGATCAATACCTCTGCCCAGACCGTCCTGTGAGCATACCATCCTGGAAGCCGATCTCACTTCCCCGCATCGACGAATGGAACGGCCAAGAATACTTCGATCCCTTTCAGATTGGCCGAACCTTCAACCTTTATCACCCAGAGCTGGAACCTACAAATATCGTCGTCACGAGCGATGGCCGTGTAACCGGCATTCTGGACTGGGAGCGCGCGGGCTACTTCCCAAGATGCTGGATCAGCACCAAGCCTCAGATTGCAGACGAGTTTTTGCTGGACGCAGGTCCTGGCGTGCCCGACGTAACCGAATGGCAATGGAGACTCGCTACAACTCTCGAGGAGAGAGGCTTCATCCCTGAGCGAGAAGAATGGGAAGAGTTTCGCGGAAGGATCTCCGGCACCGTGTCCACAGCTGTGTCTTTTGCCAAGTATTTTCCGGCCGAGACAGACGAGGCGGAGGACAACGAGGTCCCTGACGTCCCTGACGTCCCTGATATCCCAGATGTCCCAGACGTCCGAATGGACGAGGTGGGCGAGCCAAGCCGGCTCAACGCGCATGATCCACATCAGGTCTGGTATTAGCAAAGAGGTTTGTTAGCCTTGTGTCCAGTGGCTTTGTTGTATGTTCCACTCAATTCTTGAACGAAGCGCTAAGCTGCCCCATTTGTGTTGGACTGGGGCCTGAGCAGCTTAAGGTACTCACCCTCCTTTCCCTCATGTTTTCTCTTTTCTTCTTTTATTTCTCTTTTCCTTTTTCCTTATCTTTTCATAATTATCTTCCTCTCAGCTACCTTTCTTCTTTTAACCTTTTGGCCCAGCTCATTGGATATGATACTCTCTTCGTCTTTAAGGACGATCTGTTCTCTTATGTTATTTCCTTGGGAGGCGTTTCGCTGGGAATAAATGGCGCGGAAATATGGCAAGGATGAATCAATTGTATGGTAAAAGCAGCAGGAAGCAACCGGTATCAACGGGCCGTGACAGAAAGGTAGCAAAATGATGACTAACTGATGACTTTTCTTTTGAATCGGAACTGAAACCCTGCAGCCTTGTGCATTTCTCGTGAGCGATAACAAGGCGTAAATGAGAGAACAATACCATCAGGGACCCGCCTGTCGTGGAGCTCTCCACATACCAAGGGACGTAGACATGGACATGTAATCGCGTCGAGGCCTGTGTGGTGCGTATCGTATCGTACGTACGTGGTGCAGATGTGCAATGATGCTTAACCGGGCATTATCAACCAACCAACGCCATGCCAGGTAGAGCTCGTATGGAGAGGGTGCAATCACCTTGGGATGCGGTAGCTGACACACTTGCTAGACTTTCTAAGTGCTTGGAGATTTATCAATAACGTTACGGTGTAGACTGCAAGATGGTAGACTGCGAGGCGGGCTGTAGAGTGACATGGTGAACTGCGGGACCCGAAAAATCAGTGCCGATTTCGTATCACAGCCTGGCGCTTGCATCGTATTTCTCAGAGCTGCATTCACCTTGAGACGCCATCGCTGCTATCAGAGCGCTGGTGCAATGGCTGGAAAACTTGCCTACAGTCGTTTGTATCCGGCTTGCATTCTCCAGCGGTGTCTTTGTTGAAGCATTTGGAGAGAGGATATGGTATGTGTGTAGGCCACTCAACGTACTCAAAAGAAATCCGGCAAGGGTGTCGTTCTTCCGTAAAGACATCGTTGCGTCACGGTTTGCTGGACACATGCAAGCGCAAGACCAACAGTATGCAATTTGGAATGACCGGTGTAAAAGATGAGAGGTGTGCTGCGCCTCTGTATCGGCCACTGAAAGCTCCATTGATCCGTTGTGTTGACGACTTCCATGACAGGATAGAATTGAACGCTGAGGCTTTGGCGATGGGTACATGTAATCATCCAAGGTGGAATCAGCGAGTGCGGCTCACAAGGACATAGAAGCTCGCAGGTGACGGCGAAAACCGCTGATTACGGCTCCTCGAACTTTCTGGAAGGGAACGGTGGCATGCCAACGACGGCAGTAGAGCGACAACGTCATGGTAGGAGAGGCAGTGTACGACGCGGTCGATGATGGAGAGGAGGAGTTGGCCTCGCTCTGAGACATCGGGCAGCCTGTCAGCTTACCTCCTTCCCTCTGAACTTGCTGTGCGAGAGGAGGAACACACCGATGCCGCAGTGAGGAAGGTCCAGTTTGATGCGAGGCCTCAACCTGCACACTTGCCATGGCAGGCACGAGTCACAACCTACCTATCTTAGCTTGCAGTACTTCCTCAATGACGTACGAAGGCAACAATTGAAGGTACTGCCTCTAACAAGTACCTACCTAGGTAGGTAGTCGCTGCCTTGGAAAGCTTTCAGATGGTGGATACGAGCAGCCGACGACACGGATTCCGGCTCGGAAGAAGATTTAGTAGCAGAGGACGAGACAAGAGGTCACGATGCACGAGATCGGAAGAGTAGGTCACCTTGCGCAAGCTTGCTCTCTCGCCAAACTACCTTGATCTCGCGGGGCAGATCCGATCGTGACCGCTTGTACCAGGTCACAGGTGTCTTGACATTTAGAGACATTGATGGTAACAGGTCCCAATGCCATCCTCAGGCTAGTATCACCAATCTGCACACGAATGGCGCATTGCTCTCTTCGGCCGGTATGTTGTGTACGCTGACACAAAACTGAGGCAAAGCCCAAGATAGCCACTCTTGATTCCTTTACCCTTCGATCCGCCTCAAACAGCATTCGGGTAAAATCTCGCAAATGCTGCCGGATAACGTCACCCATTTACCACTGAATCCCAAACGAAGACGGACATAAGGGCATCCCGATAGCCATCGCATCGAAAGTCCCCCTGGACGCTCCGGTACAGGCCTCGGAAGCTCTCGACGGACAGCATCTTGAGGAGGAGAGGACAGCGTCCGCTTGGACTGTTGCCCCTCTACCTTGAAGTTAAAAGGCTATGTCTCGTATTATCTCATAATATGAACTCTATCACCTTTGGAGAGGCGAGAAAAATGGAGTAATCATCGCCACGGGCGTCAAAATTGGGTTCACGCGGAGGACTTTTGAACCCTTTCTAGGGTCCTAGACTTCGTCAAGAATTGGCATCGCTGCATACGGTGACCACTAAATTGTCTATCCTATGGCATTTTGGGACCCCCCCCCCCCCCGAGCTCTGATGGGGCTACTTTCCGCGGGAATACCATGGTCGAGATGACCACGCGTGGGCGCACCCTTCCGAGCCACCAATGATCAAAGTACGCGACCAAGTATGAAGCAAAGAGCTCACATGCATATTGTTGAAGATATCCACACGCAATGCGCCTCGACCTTCGCACCATACTGGCTGGTCAGAAGAGCCAGGGACAAGGACCTCATCCATGCCCAATACAAATCTTGGTGAGACTCACCTGTCTCTTCAGTCACACATGAGGCTTGGGGGCGGCATTAAATTCTCTGAAGGAAGGCCGTTAAATTGAAGCTACCGAAATTATTCCCAAAAACACACTGCGACATTCAGTAGAGAGTGAGAAGACAAGAGAAGAAAGGGAAAGAGAAAAAGAGAGAAATAAGAGAAGGAGAGAGAAGAGAGAAGAGAAAAAGAACGGAAAAGAAGAGAGAGAGACAGAGAGAGACAGAAAGCAGAAGGAATCTGCCACTCATCACAGGCTGCTTTGAGGTTGACAAGCAAAAAAGCACCAAGGGCCAGACAGCTTCCCGTTCATTGGCACCTCTTCCAGCAAAATTAACATCTACACTGACGAACTGTTGCAGAACGACATCAACTTTGCCTCAGCTCGTAAGGTACACCCTCTGGCCGCCATGAATCTGCCCAGGTAGCTGCTCCCTGCGCAGATGTTCTGGTTCGCAGCAAGCCACCATCTCCTACCTGGGAAAATTCCGGTCGTCATCTTTCATTGTATACAAAAAAAAAACCCAAATGGACCTACCCCCCACTGCGGCATCAACAAGGGAACGAAGTGAGAGTACTCCTGTTGCATCAGGTCCGCGGCATCGAGAGTCTCTCCGCCAGACGGTATGTTGTTACGGGCCATCATGTCCACGTCGGATGGGGCGCCGTTCGCTGTCATAACTTCGACGGCTCACGGGACATAGCAGTCACCATGGCAGTCGCAGTCATGTTCAGCCCGGCCGCGGGCTAGTTCAGAGTGTTCGCTCGCGGTGGGCTATTGCACCCCGCCTGTGGACGGTCAACTCCAGGCAGGAATACAATGTATCTATGGTAGAGAGCAAGAGCGGGACATGGTGAGTTACATGAATGCAGACAGGGAAGATGTATTCGGGATGAAGTTTTCACTCACAGTGTCTTGCGGACTCGGCGAGGGCGAGTCCCTTGCAATCTGTGGCATATTCTCACGTTCTAGTCTCTGCCGGAGGGAGTTATGGGCCGCCTTAGATACCAGGGACTCGGGCTTTGCTCCCGGATCTGGTCCGGACTGGGTCTTGTGGTACCTCCGACTTTTCTGCGGTTTACTGCCGTGTTGAGCTCCGCTGGGTCTTTTCCCCGGAATGTTGCTGGTCGGCACGTTATGAACCGGCGCCGATTGAGTGGCCTTCTCGGATTGAAGGCCCGGCTGGGCTGGTTGAGCTGGAAGACTAAGGCATGTCTGCGCATCCTGGTCCTGCGGGGATAGCTGAATGGGTGGAAGCTGAGGCTGATGAGGTAGCTGCGGCGGCGTCCCCAGTTTTGGTGCATCGAACAGCGACAATTTAACCGACGAAAATAAGAGAGATGGATGCGGGCGCAGCCGTTCAATTCGGTCGTCAAGGTGCGCCATACAAAGCTTCAGACCCCTTCCTTCCAGAGTTGGTAGCCCAAGTCGTGGATGCATCTGGCGCAGTTTAGGCTTCCAGTTCGACTAGAACTCGTCAGTTGGCCCAAGCTGATGTACTTGTCGAAACTGCTCACCTGGGTATCGGTAGTCAGGTCAATTACTTCTGGTGCACGAGGGGCTGGGCCAGCTTCAGCTGTCCCAGCCCCTCGACGTGCAGCATCTCCGCTCCAGAAGGGCCACGGTGTCTGAGACAAAAACACACACGGCTACAAGGGAGTTCCCAGTCACTCTGACCAGGTCTTGCAGTCATTTTCCGAAGGGAGCGCCACGGGCTGGGCGCATTGATCTCTCATGCACGGGCTACTTTCCTCCTAGTCCGGGGGCCAATGTTCAGCCGCAGGTCGGCTCCCTCACACATTACTCATTACCCCTCACGAGCAGGCTTGTCTTTATTCCTATTGATGATATGCGACTGTTGGACTGGGCCAGCCCCCCCTAATCCCAAACCCGCAAAGCCGCACGGCACAGGCCCCTTTGTTCCCCCAGCTGGCCGACGAGTGTGCATCAGCGCAGATATTGAGACAAATTGCTTTTGGTTGTACTGCTCAGCCGGAAAATCTCCGCCCGCATCTGAGCGAGGGTACCGGTTTCTCAAGCTATGTCCCGTGGCCGTAAGCAGGGGAGAGCGTATCTCGTTAGAGTGCGACTACACTTGAGTGGTCTTGGCTATATTTGATACATGCAGCATTCCGTTGTGTGCGAGTTTCGGGAGTCAGTCTGAGACTTACTTGCCTTGTCCGACAGTATTCACAGCGCAGGCTTGGTTCGCAAATCACGGTGCCCGTCAAGGCAATGGTGGCGTATATGCAAGGCAGAACAGACGTGGAAACAATCATCGCTCGTTTCTACGTCGGTTTAATCCTGCCGCTGCCGGTTTCGTATTTCTACCGTTGTCGTGAAATGACGATGGGAGCACAGCAGGTGGTTGTGGGCTAGCAGCTGCCTTTTTGCTCCAAGTGCAAGTCGCACAGAGACGCCGCAACGGCACAAACGTATCCATTCCAAGCTTTCTACACACTGACCATGCAGAGGCAAGTGGTGACGGCTTGTCTTCGGTATGCCGCAGATGTGGCGTTCGGTTGGGACAGTACCTCGAGCTTGGGGCAGAGGCACCAAAATTGCTGAGTCTCAGAGCCTTGTCCAACGTAGAGAGATGTAGATATACAGGTAAGTTGAAACGGCCAGCCAGTCAAGCATCACCCAGGCAGCGCCAGTCAGACTGTTAGCTGGTCACTAGAAACCCAATGTATAAACCAGAGCCAGTCAGTCTTTCGCTCACTCAAACCATGGTTCGCATGCTCGACCATCCTTTGCATCAATCTCCCAACTTGCTTGCATTCCCTATATCCCCACGTGTTTTGGAACATCCATTTCGACACTCAACGTGAGCCTCAGCCTGCCACTATGATTTACAGCAGCCAAACGCCTGGCAGAGACAGAGACAAGCGTGGTGGACAGAACACCAAGAACTATTACCTTGTCTGGCTATACATCCTTGCACTCCGTCTCGTCGCCCCGGCCAGTTTTGTCTATTGCCTCGTGCACTTCTTGGTTTACATCTTTCAAGTCCCATGTCCTACCTTAACCAGCCGCCCATGGCTTACTCTTGCCTCGTTCTCTGAAGTTGTTTTCTTCCTCAGCATCCTACGGAAGAGATGCCATCTTGAGGGTGCTCCCCCAAAAACTGGCTTCAGAACACACTACGAGCGTGATGACCTGTTCTACAAATGCTGCGACTACGTACCAAGCCTCGAGAGGTTCCTCACCAACTGGTTCCAGGGTGCCAGGGTCGAGGATCTCCGCCGGGACGACATCAAAGACTTCCTCGCCTGGACCTTTGCTAAGAAGTCGATAAGTTTCCAATACTACGATTGCGACCTTGACCATTACATCACACACATGGAGGGCGTTCTTGGTAGGACCTTTCCCCCGGGGCGAGGCTGCCATCAAGCCATGCGCTTGTCGCTCGATCCGTTGCAGGTTCAGCACAAGCCGCTAGTCTATTACCTGGTAAGGCAACTGTTTCTTTCGTCTTGTTACTGTTGGAAAGTGATACGTCATACCTGGCCCCTGATCAACATGCATGCACTCCACGTGATACTACCATCGCGGTGCCTCTTTGAGATGCGAATTAGAGATATACATGAGCAATAGCTAATCAGTCTCTAGTTCGTCGTCGGCTTTGCAGACGTAGTTTCATATTTCCGGCTCAGGCTCTCTGGCTTCGATCACTACCGACTCCCCTTATACAAGCGCATGTCTGTTTTCCCCTGGCGACCACAAACGATCTTTTCGAGGACAATCTCTCCCTCGGAACACTTATCGTACTTCTACCGACCGCACAGTCGACGTGATCGGCGACCTGTCCTCTTTATCCATGGCTTCGGTCACGGCATATCAAAATATTCCCGCTTCCTCAAAGACTTTGACCGCCAAAACGGCGACAGCAGCAGCGGCGTGGGCATCATCGCTCTGGAGATTATGCCGCTCACTACGCGCATCAACGAGGACGACATGCTCCCTATGGACAAGCTGATGCGGGAAATTCGGCTGGTTCTGGCAAAACACGGCTGGAATGAGGTCACGGTTCTAGCCCACTCGGTCGGTACCACCATCGCCACCCAGCTGCTGCAGCACTTCTGCCATGTCCCGACCATCGGCCCGATGGTCCTCGTCGACCCGATTGCGATGACGCTGCACTGGGGCGAGGCGCAGTTCAACCTCCTCTACCGCGAGCCCCGGACGGCGGCCGAGCGGGAGATGCGGTACCTCTTCGGGGCCGACATGACCATCGCGCACAGCGTCACGCAGGAGTTCGGCTGGCAGGACAGCCTGGCCTGGCGGACCGAGTTCTACGGCCGGGAGGTGGCCTTTCTGGTCTCGGGCGAGGATCTACTCGTTGGCGCACAGGAGACCGTCGAGTACCTCAGCACGTGCGCCGAGGTCCCCGTCCACGCCTCTGATTCCGCGGACGTTGCGCTGAACCCTGCGCGGTATGTCACCAGGCAGCCACGTGCCGTGATCCTGCACGAGGGGCTGGGCCACGGCGAGGTGTTTGACAGCCCTGAGAACTGGAGAGTCTTGAAGGGCGTTCTCCACCAGCATTGCCGTACCAAAGATGATTGAGCTGCCCTCGACGGGGCCGGTGATCCACTGCCCCGGGCACAGGAATGCGTTCAAGAGGAGGAGGCCACCGATGGACCTCGGCCCACTATTTGACGGCCGCGGCATGAGTCGCGCCCCGGCCGGCAGTTGGCGCATGTAATTAGAATCGTCAATGCACAAGTCAATTGAGCGCGGAAGAACCGTGAGCATGATGCGTTTAGAGTCCCGTAAACTCCACCGTGATAATCCATCCATCGATCTGTTGACGGGTCGGGCCGTTCCATGCGCATGGGCCATGATCGATCGATGACACGACTTGATGAGGTAAGATGAGGTGCTTAGTCTCACCGATGGCCAGAACTCTGGCTTCGGGCGAGAGTCTAATCATCAGGTTAATGTGACGCTAGAGTAATGGATGCTACGTAGTGTTGGTCAGACTTTGCTGGTTTAGTTTTAAGCTTTCATGTTGTTGTTGTTTAAACTGACATTGGTTGAGCCTCAACGCTGCAGGTACCGTGATCCAGGAAAGAGAGTGACACTTACACCGGGAACACGTTGCCGTCATCAATGAGTGCACATTCGGCATTACACAATTGAGTTGAAAGTCTTCTCAACCTCTTATTAAACTCGCGCTCAATTGGCCAATGGAAAACTTAGTAGGTAGTTACGGAAAAATGCCCATTTCAATTTTTTTAATGTCATTGGTCACCTGTTTGGTGCCTGGGGATCAGTCAATGAGCACCCGATCATGATGCTGCGGCCCTGGAACGTGACAGGCGACAGGCTCTCATTTGTCATCGCGCAAGATGCACAACACCTGAAGATGGATTTTTTTCCCAAAGACAACTTAATTATTCAACCAAACATGACTTACAACTGCATGTTTCCCATCCCTATATGATATTCAAAGATGAACGCGGGAGCTGGCTAGCCTCAATTGAACACAGGCACGTGCATCGCAAACGACGGAAAAAGCTGCACACAATTGGTCGGGCCTACATCTCAATTTGATTATTTGCACAGGCTGTGGTGGAATAAATTTCCATCTAGGTACGCTATTATCATGAAGCACAGGCCAAGGAAGAACGACGAGGCCACTAGAGGACAGCCAATGCCGCCAGCCAATACCGCTGGGTTGGACTTGTGGCAGGTGTCCGTTGCCTGAGCCTCGCTATAATTTCCCGCTGGGGCAAAGTCCTCCTTGCTTCATCGCTGAGTGCTGTATTGTCTACTTCATGCTCTCGGAGCATTTCATCGCCCCTGTTGCTGATCAGCCTCCGCTCGCCGCCGGTGGAGCAGGACAAACCCTCAGACATCTCGTCGGCCGTCGCTCTGCCCAGGCGCATCAAGGGAAAAGTACAAGACGGACCGACCCAATGCCAAAAACGACCGATACTTTGCCTGCTTGTACACACAGTGCGAAGAGATACTGGATCCCAATGGTCCCTTGTTTTTTGTCTCATCCCTGAGACTTGGTGGCTTCCGTGTCCGCCTCACTTTCTGCTTGCAAAGTCCCTTTCCATGCCCGACCAGCACGACGATCCCACCCTGAGTGCTGCAGGTATCATCACATTGAACACTTCAGTCCCTCCATCCACACCAAATCGAGCCCATGTACATTGAACTTACCCATCAGGCGATGGCCAGCCGAATCAGAAGGCAGGACAAAACTCGGTCAGAAAGATGAGGGGTAAAGGGGGCAGGGATAGAGCGCCGCATTGATGCCATCTGTCGAATCACACAGGTCCCCTTGGACCCGCTGGTTTGACCGGTTTCTGGTCGAAATTGCTGGCTTGCCTGGATCAAAAACATTACCGCCCAATGTCACGCACACCATGGCCGGATTCCCTTCCGGTATTGATCAGTCTCAGCTGACCTACTGCCAAAGACAAATCAAGACCAGAGGGATACAGAAGGACCCGCGCGAGGTATGCAGCAGTCTCAGCCAACCAAGGCCGACCACCGGGTACAGGGATTGTCTGAGGTCTGAGGACGGGTAAGATGATGTATTCCGCGGTCCAGCTCGTTTTAGGTTATGGGTACAGATGTACATCCATTCCATGTGGTGAGCCTACATGAGGCTCGGTACTAATCTCGGTTCGATCCCTTTTCGGCTGTAGCACCAGTAAGCAGAGCCTTCGTCATATTTGCTTGCTTTTTTTCAGCTCTGGTGCGCCAGTCAGCAGAACCTGAGACGCCGTTTGGCTCACTTCTGTTGGGAGGTTCGTGCGTGCATGCGGCGCATACATGCATGTACGCCTCCATCTAGACCAGCCCAACGAGAGATTGCCAACAAAGCAAGTGCTCGCTTCCGACACACGGCTGGGAAAGTGCAAAATGTTGCATGCCCGAAATTTTTCGGATGCAAGCCAAATGTTTAATCCCCCGCGGAGGTGCTGGCACGCAATGGTGCAACCCCAGCCCCCCGGAGGGGTTCAATGCAAGCTCACCACGACGACCAACATGCATTCGGCTGCATTGCAGCACACCATTTCGGAGTGGGAAAAGCAACGAATGACTCCTCGTGAACACACTGATGCATGCTGGACGGGTGGGCAAAGCCAGTTTTCATGCATGGACAGTACCACCTCTCGACTATAGCTGCTACCCGCCCACTATAGTTTGTGGTTGCAGTTTGAGCTCTTGGACAACATGCCTCCTTGCCAAGGCTTGCCAAACCCTGGGACGAAACATCGGTCGCTTAGGCCAATATGTAAGCTCCGGAAGAGACGATTGGTCGAAGCCTTTGGAGGTAGGATATATTGAACAATTCATGCCTGCTGCATGTACAATCACACTGGAGCTACGTAGCCATCGTCTAGTTGTCCAACGACCAACATATCGCAGTATCAACCACCCTCCACTTCGCTCATCGGTTTCGATAACTCAGGCATGTGGTAGCAAGCAGTCGTACCAACTCAATTCTCCGCCGACAAGATAGTTGCACCAGCCAGGCATGAGGAATCACACCGGCTGCACCTCTTCGTCACTTGCATTTGGTGGCTGAACGACCAGAGACACGGAGCGTATCTATCAATACACAAATGTGTAGCATGACTGGAACCCGTTTGATGAATCAAAATCAACCATTCGGACATGGTCATCCCTTGCAAGGTTATAGTAACAAGCCCTCTCCTCTTCCGAGCCTCACACCTGGTGATCCTTGGAGCAAATGCATGACGCTGTTCTCTCAACGCCACGGCGCTCATTGTCTCATTCTATCCCTGGATAGTACGACACACCATTGATGCGATGCCCAACGCACATTCCGAGCCTGTTTTCTTCCGATGCCCCCCAGCCGCACGAAAAGGTTTGTGTAACCACACTCAACATTCTGAGCTACGAGCCGCTCGGCTTACATCCCCCCACATGTCTCAGTTCCATTGAGCCTGCATACTACGCTTGCGCATGGTCTTTTTGCTTTGCCAACTCGGAAGTGCACGTCTACTCTGTACATTGTCGCAGTGGTCGGGCTGAAATCAAGTCTCGGTCACCCCCCCTTTACAACGAGTCGGCGAATCATTCAGCCAAAAACAAGTTTTCGGCTTGCATGATATTGTTTCAGTCAAGAACAAGTTCCATTGCAGCCACCGAATGCTACTGTTGTCCTTTTCGCGCAACCAAGGAGCGCTCACACCCCCTCAACAAAAGGAGATGTGACAACAGGATGGCCGGCGTAAAGGTCGGTATGCCCGTACAGGCGCCACACACCGTCGTGGGAATAACGGTACAGCGAGTTGCGGCCGCAGAAGGGGGAGACAGAGTATTATTTCCTGCCCGCATGTTTCCCCGATGCAGCTTCGGACAAAGACCGACCTCACGCTTGATACCTGACCAACGTAATGTGACACCACCATCTCGAGTGACAACGAGACCAGAGGCGACCTCACACCCCCCCTCAATCATTTTGGCTTTTCGTGGCGGAGAAGGTTTTTCAGCTCGGGTAGTGCACTCGAACCCTGTTTTCTTCCGATGCCCGTCTGACAGTATCGCCGATCGGCGTCAATCTCCGCGGAGGGTGTTGATCCCACAACGAGAACTAACGTTGCACATTGTGGGTGGTCACACTCCCGCTGTTCTCTTCCCTTTGGGGTGGGAGACTCCGACTCAGTCGAATTGGCTTTTGCTTGTACGCCGTACCACCAAGTCGAGGGCGGAGAGCTCCGAATCGTCCACGCTCGGGAGACCTTGGCCATGGCAGGTGCGGCGGACCACGCACACTACTTGGTGCGCTGTAATTTCGTACCTGGAGGCACTGAGAGAGTCCTCATACGGGGAGATGATGCTCTGTCCCTTGGGACTCCTAGCAGGCTTGTTAGTCCCTCGGATAGGTCCATAGGGCTGATATCGTGAAAGTGCTTGTCGAGTGATTGCAGACGCGAGCCTTTGTTGCTCGGCATAGTTTTACTATTGCAGAATTCACCATTCCATAATTATAATTAAAACACCATATTAATCCTGTATTTCAAAAAAATAAAGGCAGTACATACCTGTAGATACCAGCTCCAATCTGTCGTCTTGGTGAGTTGAGAGCGCGGATCCACCTTTCATTCAATTGGCGAATCATGTCCCGTCTTGCAGTTAAGCTTACCTGTGGACGGACCTGGGATTGAGAGCTGCTACAATAGTTGGTTGATGTGAACAAGGAGTTCTACTCTTATTCTTGAGTTGTGATTTTAAATATAAGTCAATTGGGAATTGAATGGATTCCGGACTGAAGTAGAGTGGAAGTTTTAACTTAAAAGTGCCGGATTGCAGTGGTTTTGTAGCGTTTAATTGTGCCAACATAGCTGCGTTTCAACGACCTGAACACCGACCACAGAACATCACCCAAGCCATCAGGTCCCTCATGTCCATTTAGTCTCTCCTCAACGGTAGAGTTAGCTATATTGTCATGTAAATATAAGTGACTCAATCATGAAGAATTTTTTATTTTATTTTAGATGATCAAATAAATGGTTTCTGCGTGCGCGCGACCGTGCGGATTGAACAGTCTAACCGGGTGCTGGAGACAATAGGGTAGCACATGTCCCCCAGCCAAATCGACACGATCACCAGCTCAGATTGTCAACTGGATTGACATCGCCTCCCCCAGAAGGCGACTCTTACGTGAATGCATACAATTGGATTTATTTTGGATGAATATCATGTTTCTAATTAGAAATGGTTGTGAATAATAATGGCGGAAACTGGGATCAAGGTACGCCAGGTTGGCACTACGCCTTCGCGTTTGCCCCTGATACCCCTGAACTGGCGCGACTTCGTCTTCCTTCCTCAGCCAGGCTTCACAATCACCTAATGCCTATTACCTCCCAGAGCATGCTTTAGATAGCTTCATTAAAGACTGGCTGCAATCTTTGGCCAGATATCTGCACATCTATCGAGGTAACGCGGTGAATAAACAGGTGATTGAAGCCTTCTCACCAACGCTATTCGCAATTGATTGTATCCATTGAAGCCTCGCACGGCTATTTCGGTAGCCTGGAACCTATCTGACGTCTATTGAAGTCGCCTCCATGGTAGAACTCGTAGTATTGCGATAATACTGTCACCCCTAAGGCAATGACACCCGTTCTAGCCCCCCTCTGCGTCATCCCCTATGCAACGGGCACGTCCATTGTCTCGCCCTTGCGAGATGTCACTCCAGACACATCGTGAGATCTCGGGTCTTCTAGCGGTGAACAAGGTGGCGCAGTGACGCCGTGTGCTTTCTCCATGTGAAACTCGAATTGCCAAAGTGTCTCGATCGAAGGGTAACCGGATACAACGCCGATTTATCTGCCGATCTTGCTCGACTACGTGGGAGTTGCAGGTTTTGGGCGCTCACGAGGCTTGAAGAAGGTAATATCTTCCTGTTCTCTTCGTTTTGATTGAGGTGGTGAGCGTGCTGAATGTCTGGCGGCTGAGTGCTCATAGAAAACGGCAGGAACCTTTGGCGCTGGCACATTAACATCATGTCGCACCTTCCTCACCCATAACTCTGATGGGCATACCGCAGAGAGCTTCTCAATTCTTCCAACGACATTTAACAGTCCTTTATCTCATGACATTGGAATTTCTGTCCCTGGAGCGCAAGCAAATGTTGACGTGATCGCCTCCGGCGGGAATTCGACTATTCCTTCCTCCTCGACATCATTGATGAGATGCACTGCTCGGTCGACCTATAACAGGGGAGCCGGGGTAATATCGACTTGCTTGCCCCTGGGCTCTCTATCTACCTGAATAGCTATTAGCTAGAATGGTAGAGTGTTTTCTTACTTCACCTTTTTTTATTGCCCCTTTTCTGGTCTCCTGCTACCCGCTGGCGGAACCAGTAACTCATCGCTAAGACCTCTATTAGGCTGGGCAGTCGAGTCACATCCCAATGCAATCCGCCTGGCACGACAGCTCACTTCTGTAGCTCGATTGTCTATCATAGCCCGAATGACCTAGCCGAACGAACGCGGGAGGAAGGGAGAAGACGCACCGTCTGAAGAGCAGCTCTTGCTCAACACAGCGAGACCGAGCAGGACGAGTAGACCATGTGGAACTGAGAAAGGCCCGAACCGACAAAGACCTCCCAGGCGATGAAGCACCTTTCACGAATGACGTTCGAAGTGTGGAGGAGGCAGGAGAATGACCTTCTCCGGGACCAAGATTCATGCAAACAGGCAGCATGAATGATGTGCTCAACATGTCGGCGAGTTTCTCCCTCGGTTGGACGACCACCTTTCAAATATTTGGTCCGGAGGCCGAGCCCTACAAGGCTTTGGTTAGACTGAAGGTCGATATCATTATCAAGGCATGTAGCCCCTTGAGCGCAACGAGGTTCCCCTTTTCTCCGAGAAAATGGCCGATGCGTGCGATCCTTAGGGCGTATGTGATGCCCAATTCGTTCCCATAATGGCCATGATCCTATACTTCCCAAGCAGTTATCTACAACAGGCAGACCGACAAGAAAACAGAACGACACGACTTCTATCGATTCAGAGTGGAAGCCTTTCAGCCAAGCCTTGATTTTCCGCAATGCTTACGCTTCAGCATACGACTTCCTTGATAGAAACCTCCACCGGCCAGATATTTGGACGAAATTAGTCTCTGGCCGTTGCTTGTTTATTATTTGGCTTCCAAAGCTTTCATTCAATGGTCAGAGTGAGTCAGGGAGAGGTAATGTCGAAAGAATTCTCAGCAATGACCGTCTTTCTTTCATTAATTTGAAGTCAGTGGCAGAGAGTATCACTGTAAAGGGAGGAGCCCGAGCGATGTTAGCATGCCGAGTCAAAAAAAGGAAACAAAGCAGGGTCTCTTTATATTCAACCTTTCCTGAAATCATGGACGGGAAACTGGGAGGATATTGAAGAGGTAGGTGGTGCAGAACAAAGACCCATGTCATAAACGCTCTGCAGCAGAATTGAGATAACAGACATATCTTTTACGAAAATACTGACTAGAGATTTATTACGTCCTGTTCTCATTGAGCAATGGGGTTTCATGCCACTGCCGGAACTGCTGGGAGACACCAGATGGCCCCATCTTCGAGGCTGCAAGGGTATTAGGAAGGCATGGGACGAGGGAGGTGGGAGGTTTAGGTGCCACGGTCCATTTACGAGAAGGAGTCACGGCGATTTCATTTAAAATACAGATGCAAGAGCTCGCAAGCACCGATAACATGCCACCGGAGAAGTCGAAACCTAACAGCGGGCTATAATGTGAAGCAACGACACTGCTTCATGCCTTGAGAGAATTTGTTCCTTGAAAGCAACTTGAATCTGTACCGGAGACTCAGAACATTGAAGACAAGAGAGATTGATTGGTATTATTTACCGTGGAGACTGAGCCCTTGACAACACTTGATCCTCATCATCGAATAATGGACGAAGACTTGTACACGCTTGTTATTACTTATATGAAGACGGACCACAATATATGACTTCAAGTCACTGGCGCCGCGTGGAGAAGTGGACATGACATGAGCTATGCCGGATATTTTTCAGGCCCCTGGATCCATGGTCACAATGGAGTCTCTAAAGGCCAGCACAGGTCCAGCAACTCCACGGGACCAAGGAAAACAAAGAAACAAAACACATAAAAGACCGGCCACCAAGGGCATCTGTCGAAGGAAACCGGGCATACTTCTATGTCGATTTACGAAGCCGGCTGTGATAGTTGTGGCGGACTTGCTTTCGATTAGTTGGCGTTGCGAGCCTTCGACACAGCCACTGAGGCAGCAACTTTCCTTGAGGAGGCGAAGACGGTTCCAAAGTTTAGTACAACACGGCAAAGCACAAAGGTCTGTCTTGGAACTGCCGAATTCCTGCTGCTTGCGTTGTCTGAAAGTCGGTTTGAGGACAACTGTTGATCAATGATGTCAACGCTAGTTTGGGGATTGTCTGCGAGACCGGAGACTGATGCAGTAGATTCTTCTCGCAGTGTGCTAACATTTCAGGGCAAGGGTTCAAAATATTAGGGCTCCCTGCATGTCTTACTAGCACCGGACGTTTCAAAGAGAGAGGCCGCAACAGCTGTCATTGAGGCCTGAGGCACAACGGCCGGACCGTCTGAGACTGCCACCACCAGGCTGTACTGCACCTACCACAACCTGATCGAACATTCTGAGGCAACAAAAGGAGAGAAAAAAAGTAAACAGGGACTCGAATCAGCGACCAGTGGGAAATTCGCCTTTATTCGGCTACGAACCCAACCCGTATTGTATACGAAGCTCGAGCTGTGGCATTACCAAATGGAGCAGTATATGATTGTACCTGCTTGTTGACTGAGGTATTATTTTCGCCTTCAAAGCATTGAAACAGCAAGACACCCACCTAACTTCCAGCAGCTGCAGTTATTAGGTCGACCATGAATCGCGAATAGCGGAGGGCCTCTCTCGGGTATGGATATTTTGAGGTCTGCAGCTGTGCACCGCGCATGCATTTTAGCACACATCACAACCCGAATCGCTCATATGATATTTGATTCAATAACCAGATCGCAGGACTTTCAAAAATTTTACTTCCAATTATTGAAGAACTGTCGTATCAGGTACTTGACTTCATTGCCTAAGACGCGTGCACCATATCTTATTGTGCAGGTTTGACCATCACTCCATACATCTCCACGACCTAACATCTTGATTTAGATTGCGGGGGATGAAAATTTAGGCAATCGAAAGCCGTTTAGACTTATATAGAGTAAGGACCAAAACAAGCCTGAGAGTACCTTAGGGACTGACAAATGCAAGTTGACGCAAGATGCTTAGGGCTGTGAGCTCTGGTGTGTGAATGGATATTTGATAGAGCAAGGCAGACCTGACATCAATGAGCTTCAGCCAAGGAAATGGTATGCCTGGGCTAGTGTACCCTGATAAAACCATCTATAGTTTGTTTGATTTAAGCACTTCCGGAGTTCTGAACGATCGATTCAACTGCGATCGTCATCGGTACCACAATCACCATTTGTCTACGACTACTAACTGTTTAATGAAATGCATTGATTATATTGATACATTCTCCAATCAAGATGGCATAGGATCTTTCCTCAAGTTACAATCTTCTCTTCCAAGATATTGGGTGTATCTAGAGAGTGAAGCCGTCCATTTAGGGACCATTTTGATGAATTGAGAGGCATGCAGCTCACAGGACCTGACTATAAGCTCTAGCATAGAGAACGCTTTTTGAAAGCAAGTTCACGCCGGGAATACTCTATGCGAATGAAGTGGCAACGAGTCTTAGATCAGGGCCGTTGTGGTTGAAGTCCTTGATTTCGGGATGTTGTCCACGCCTGAAACTAAGAATTCCTGTAATATTGCCGATACACTACAATGGAAAAAAGAAAATCCATTTATTAGCCCTTTCCAGACAGTTTCAAGCACACAATTAATGGCAATATTCTTCGCCGCAAAGAAACACAATGCATTCGTCCAGTGTGCTGAGGGCAATGGCTATTTCTATAGGGCCTGGGCCGCTGTAGCTATCGCTAGAAATGTTGGAGTTAGGATGCACTCTGCCGCTAATGACTAAGGCACGTGCCCTGCGCTCTGGTTGTAGTTTTGCCGCGAAAACTCCCGCTAAGTGTCGTCGTCTTACAACACCACAGAATTGTAGCCTGCCTACAACGACGATGGAGGAACCGACCGTCATGCTCGCAGTGAGAACTGAAAGCCGATGTCCCATGGACGCCCGTTTTATCCCCGGACACACCGGTTGAGCTAATCTACAAAAACCATCCGCCAATTGCTCCCAAGAATCTCGACAATCGACCACACCACCCTTCGAAGCCGCCCCTCGAATGTCTCTACGACAGTCTCTGCGCTGCCGTTTGGGCCAATTCGATCGCACGAGCCGCAGATGGCAACGACCATGCGCTGTCTAATAAATATTCGGGGAGGATTAGCCGAAATTGTTGACATGACACTGGTAATCCGGGAACTTCGGCTCCGTTGTATACTGGTCCTCGGCCTGGCTGGAGCTTGAAGCTGTAGGGCAGCACACATACCTCGACTATGGTTTGCATTGGACAAGGTACTAACCCTTTGCATTTTATAATAACTCTAGCTAATCATTTATGCGCCAATCGTTGCAGCAGCTCCCCTACCTTGCTTGGCCCTGGCCGCGCGACAAACCTGGTGCCTGTTGGCGATATTGACGTTGACGGCGACACTTTTGCGAAGGGATGGGCTGCACCCATCCAAATCCCGACCTACACTCGCCCGAAGAATGCTTGCGACGCACAGAGTACGCTCGTATACGACCGACCACATGGTTCACGATCCCTATATTTCGGCGGGGTACTAGCTTTGGCGCCTGGCGACGACCGCGCTCAACTGTAGATCGCCGAGTACATTTCGCGAAGACCTCAGCACCTGTATAATCGAACGATCGCCACACGTTGGCGAGGGGTTGCTCCACGCATGGCTGTCATCATGCCCGGGTCTTGCCAGGCGCATGGGTTGGTCTAGATTAGCGGAATAGCTCTATAAGTACATGGCGCTATAATATTTATAAAATTAACATTTAAACCAACCAAAGTAACTCAATCGCTGTAGTTCTGATGCTCTCTGAATAACCAGCAGCGCGTCTGACGCGTGCTGATCCACCAATCAGAACCGGTGAAGCTGGGAGGTTCTCTTCTAATTTTTCAGGGATCAATGATGTCATGCTGTGGGTTGAAACGCGTCGCGCGTCCAGCAATTGATGAATCACAGCGTCTGAGGAAGGTGCTGTACATTTTGTAAGGAAGCACGACTAACAAAGGGAATCGTTGCCGTAACAGTTGCGCACCTCTGGTCTGTACCTCCGCTCTACGTTCTGATTTAGACAACCAATTGGTTCAGTGCCATCGAACAATGCTGATGTTCTACCTTAGATACATTAGCGAACGACAACTTCTACACCCACGGCGATATTAGCCCGTTCAACTGCTCACGACTTTCTCAACCTGCCAGTACACTGGCGAGACGGGAAGAATCGGTACCCTCCTTGCCCCTTTCGCCCCAGCGAACCCCTTTCCGAGCGCCGACATTGTCTAAAAACCCGAATACATCGATGACAACGAACAAAAATACTCGACATTGCTCGGATAGCCAACTCTAGTACTCGCTCGGATGAATCTTTGCTAGCTCCATGTGATTGAGGAGCAAGGTGAAGCCCGTACCTGAACCTGGAAATAGTGTCGGTCCCCAGAGCCACCCAACGAACCCAATTAGCGATGTACTCGAAGTTTCGTCTCGCCCGAAGATACACTACACACAGCTAGGCTTGTCCGCTCGCCCCGGGGCGCTGTTGACGAAGCTTTGAACCTAGTCATCAAGGTAGCCATTACGCAATGGGCAAGCCGAGTTTCTATAGCCCTTCGAAAGGGGGTTAGTGAAGACATCTATCAACTATCCCTAGTTGCTCTGAACTACAACACTCGATAACACTACCCCATACGAGCCGCTTCAGCAAACAGGCGGATGCCCCCGAGCGCACATATATGCATGCTGGAACTCGACAGAAGATCTCTTCGTGTGCGAATACTGCCGATCGAAGCAATCGAATCTACATGGGGTGCAGAAATGGTGTATCGCACATCTGATCTGACACCCACGCAATGCTTCTTGAGCCTATGCGGCTTCAAGGCAACCTGCTGGCAGCGTGGTTGGCTGATGTTAAGCATGTGGCAGAATGATGTCCCAAGGATGTGACTCGCCACTCATGTGGTAGCGAAGGTCCGTGTATCCTGGAGTGTTGCTGGCTCGACTGAATGCCGAAGCCTTGCGAGCTGCAGCAAATACTTCTTCTCAGCCTCGTATAGCGACGAGTCTGATGGCTTGTTAAGCCGGCTGTCTGGTTAATATGGCGGATAAACCTACCATAGGGTTTTGGAGTTGAAAGATGGCGCTTGGTAGATCACCGGAACCCTCTTTGCGACTCTGTGCTACTGGTCTTAGAGCCTAAGCATATAACTATCGACCAGCGACGTACCAACCCTACGATACGTTTCTCGTATATGCACCCCGCGTGGGCACTGGTTTTCTGAGCACATGCCGGCGACCTCTTCTGCTCAGGTAACCCCATTGGCGCCTTTCATGTACTCATGAACAAGCACCTTGGGAAGGTTTTGGTCTGGACTCGAGCGATTGATACAACCTTCGGGTAGTTTGGGAAGCACAGAATGCATGTTGTGACAAACAGACGTCAAGTCTTTGTCCCAAGACGGCATCTTGGTGGCTAATACGAAGCTGGAAGCCAAGGCCATGCAATGATCACATGATGGACAAGGCTTGACGACATATTATTTATGGAAGCAAGAACAACCTAAAATACGGTCATCTGGCCCTATAGCCTCTTGTCTTGTCTGCATTGTCACCATCATTGTCTCAGAGGCCATAGAGCGAAGGTGTTTGTTTCTGGAAGAGCGAAATTGGTCCATGAGAGCTTGTGGCTGATACCCCTTGACTAGCTCACAAGCCCGAATTTTAAAAAACCTCGCCCCCGTTTTGTTTCCTCAGCATGTTCAGAGAAAATTACCATAGCCAATCTCAACAGGAACAACTGGAAACAACAGCAATGAGAACCGGAATGTCTACGGACGTGTTGAAGCACTGCTTTTTTGTCCGCTCCCCCGACTTTTTGTATGAATCTGGAGTCAGCAACTACCAAGTCGAAGACGGCGACTTCCAGAGATTTGTGGATGGCCTCAAGAAACCGCCTGGCGAGGATGATGCAACCAATGCCATTATGATGAAGCAGGTATGCTATGCCCAGCTCGCAGACCGCGCGGAGAGGCTCTCTCCTGTACGTGGTACAATTTCCACCACTTACTACTGGACGAGTCGCCAGGACGATATTCCCGACGACCTGAGCGATACGTTATATTTGCATGAATGCGGCAAACCGTCTATCTTTGACATGGAGTTTTCCAGGAACGGTCAGCCATTTATTGGATACCTCCAGAAACATCGTGATGATTACACATGTATTGATTCTCAGACGTGGGTTGGAGCCGTTACGATGAATGGGAGGCTCTTGTTGCGAGAGGGCACGCCTATGTGCATCCCACGCATCGCATTGGTTACCGCTACTCTCCATAGAGGGGTTTTGCGTATAGTCAAACATTACATCCCCTATCGCTAGGAATGGCATAGGTGGGTGGATTTCAACTGTGTCGATGTCAACATGGCGTCAAATAAGCAGGAATTTGAGAGGGGCATACATATCGTGAATAGACTGCGGATGGAGGCGGCGGACTTCTGGGAGTCGGTGGCTGCAAGTGTCGGTGATCCATCTACCTATGAGGCCGCACCGGACGATTGGATACCGCTCCAAGACAGGTTATTCGGCTTTCCTGAGAGCTGGAGTTTTGCTCGCAGCTTTAGAGCTAGCTCCAGAAGAGGCACCGAGCTGAGTATCGAGCCGAGGATCGGGGATGAAGAGTTCCAGACGTTCAGGAACTCTCGCTGGACGGCCGGCTCAGACAGCCTCAGGATATTTGCCAAGTACGCGCTTGATCACCAGTCACCTCCCCCCTTCACAGCCAATATACCACTCACGCAACTGGGCCTAGATCCAGCAGACCCAAGATACGAGCCGTTTAATGGATACGTGCCCTCTAATTTTTTTATCATGGTCAGGGAGGAGGGTTGTCGGCGTCACAGGAAAGCGGAAAAGCTCTGCGCCAGGGCCACGGACTTCGCAGAGAAGGTGACCCAATTAGTTGAAAGAAAATTTCCCCACGACGTAAATCTAGTTGCGTTCGTTGTGGAAGTTACGAATCACGAAATGAATATTTGGTTGGGTTCCCTCGTGGATTCTGGACCCAGCCCCGAGTCATATTGCTGCTCCCCTATATACTTTTACCTGAGGAGGAGCAAGGAGGAATTCGACCGGGGTCTTCGTGCTTTGGCCCTGGTGCGCAAGACGGCGGCGGATATCCAGCGACGGCTATGCGCGGACGTCGCGGCTCGCCGTACAAGGGAGGTCCATGTGCCCGCACAGCCTGACCTTATGGAGGCATCACGGAGCGAAGACGAGGAAATACGCAAGGTCAACGACACGATGGCGCGGATCGATCTAGGTGCTCAGGTCGCGTCGCGCGAGTCGGCACCCGTGGGCGTCGAGACGAACACTGCCAGCCAACGTGGCCAGAAGCGAGGGCGGGACGAGGATGAGGAAGAGACTCCGCAGACCATGAAGCACAGAAGAACCATCAAGACCATGCCGCAAGTCCGACCGGGTGCTGATGTAGCGTCTGCTGGCCTTGCGGCTGCGGACATCAAGGCGAGTCCTGCGAGCCAAGATGGTCGGAAACGAAGGCGGGATGGGGATGAAGGCGAGACCCCCCGGACCGTGACTACTGGGACCGTGTCAGAAGTCCGACTTGGTACTGGTGGCATATTTGGTGGCCTTGCGCCCGTGGACATGAAGGCGAATCAGGCCAGTCAAAATGGTCTGAAGCGAAGGCGGGACGAGGGAGAGGACGAGGTTTCTCACACAACGGGGAAGTACAGAAGACCTGGAGTGAACGCCTTGTCAAGGAGGAAAGTGGGTGGAGATCACGTCGCTTAGACGCTGTGCGGCAGTGTGCATTGGAGTTATTTGGTTAGATTTTCAGGAGGTAACAAACAGAGATCAATTTCATTGCGATAGCTACACTAAAGATAAGTCGTACGGAGCCGTGACAGCGAAACAGGAAATCCCATACCCTCAAACCATTTTTTTTGTGCTGTATTTGTTTTTATGAAACGTACCAAGCCAAGATATCATCAGTCATTAAAAGCGCACACACATGGGAGCCTGTAGCTCAGTATTAAAGAGTGTAGGCCTGTTGTAGGCCAAGGCTAAACTAAGGTCCAGCCTTGAAGAAAGCACCTGGGAACAAAGAGGCAACAAAGTGAGAACAAGGAAGGAGAAGGCGCATGACCAGGGTGGTACTGAACTCATGGTGCTAGAGGCAGAGCCTTCCATCTTGAGGGCTCTGTTCCGTCCATGAGGCGAGAGTGAGGAAAGGGGAAACAAGGCAGAGACAGAAGAGAAAGGAAAAGAAACAGTAGATAACGATCGAAAGATGTTGGCAAGCAGCTTTCTCCGGATAGGGGAGGGAGCCTGACCATACTATGAGGATGGTGAGAAGAAGGACAATTCTCAAACCTCATCGGTGATGATTATATGATGCTCAGGTGCCTGTGCCCCAGATAATGAGGTCGGCACCCTCCAGAACCTGTCCTTTGTCGTCGGCTTGCTGGATAAGCTCGTCATAGACATTTCCCTGAGCCTTAGCCAGGTCGATGAGCATCTTGTAGCTTGGGTAATAGTCGCTACCATCCCAGAGGAAACCATTGAGGTTCGTGAGCACGATGCGGGATCCAACACCGCCCGTATTGTAGCTGTAGGACATAGTGAAGTGCTTGGCTTGAAGGTTGTCATGGCGCAGCCTGGTGGCGTTGGTGATGACGTTGTATATGGTGCTGACGATGTTGGCGGAGGTGCGTTGCCATAGGTGGCGTGGGATATGCTCGCAAAGCTCATCGGCGGTGAAACCTGGAACGAACTCGGTGACAGTGCCATAGACCATGAGTGGCTGTCCGTAGACACGGGTGGATATGTCCATGCTCACAGTACCCAGGAACCTTGGGAAAGACGACCGTGCAGGCTCGTCGAGGCCCTGGACGCTGCTGTAGGCATGATCGTAGGCTCTTGCGTCCTTTGTTTGAAGCATGATCAGAAGTGCCCGGAAGCAGGCCTCCCTGTGTTGCACCGGGCCCTGATGGAGGTGTTGAAAGAGCAGCCTTGGATGCTTAGCCCAGAGGTTGATGTCATTGTCGTACCCGTCCGTCGCCATGTATGCGAGCAAGCGCTGTTCAGATTCCACTGTCCACGGCTTCAGGCCCAACTGCTTGCGTAGGTCGCCGGCGTAACGAGGATCGCGCATGATGATTTGAAGCATGGGCGGAAAGTCGAGCGGAGCTTGGGCGTAGGCGGTGTGCCCAGAGATTATTACACAGTCTTCGTCATAGTCGATCTTGACTGGGTACACTTTCAAGGGCTGTTGTTGGTTTCCAACGCGGAGGTTGAGGAGCTGGCCCTCGTAAGGGATCATTCTGGAGGAGGTCATTGAGGCTGGTGAGTTTGCGAATGCAAAGGCAGAGAGTGATGAAGAATGGGTGATGGAAGAAGCTGAGCTTGGGAGTGGGAAGAGGTTGAGGAGCTTGCGCTAGAATTATGTGATTGAGGAGAAGGGATGAGATGAGAGAAGTTGGAAAGGGAAGGAAGCAAGATTGGTGAGGATGTGGTACTTATTCTTGCTGCATGGCCGGCCGCCGCCGAGCTGTGATGGCAGTTGGGCACAGTCGGCGACGACAGCTGCTGCCGCCTCACCTCCAAGACGACTGAGACAACCTATGCAAGAGCAAGGCTTAGCTGAACACTGGCGGGTGTCCGGATAACGGATGCTGGCCACAGTTGCATGTGATATGAGGGATGGGCACCGGGCTTGCATCCATAAGACCAGCACGGCGCTGTGTGTCACAAAAGCAACCAGCGAAGGAACGTCCGGAGGCGTGGTTGCTGACCGGTCTGGAGTGCTATGCATGCCACTCAGTGGTTACAGGTGCCCACGGTCACAGCCAGGTACTACCGATGTACGATGTATTATGTCGGCAGGTGGTGCAGCCTGCCTACTACCGGAGCTCATAGCTTTCTCCAATGCACCGTGGCAGAAGTACAATCAAGCATGGAAGAGCCTAACTACGCAGCTCGTCCACCCCAATACATCCATCCACCTGCAACGCGTAAGTAGCGACGAGCTCTGGCGAAGCGAATTCCCAGTTGCTAGCCTAGATGTCACCTTCTACGGTAGATAGCTGGTACCCAATGGTGGTGGCAATGGCTGGGCAGTTGGGGTTTCACGACGCTGATGAATCCGTGTTGAGCAATGTGTGCTGGCGGGGACTGTGCGAGGGACTGTATGAGCTGGCAACCATATGAGAGTACCACAGCATTCTTCCGGGCTGATGACTGGCCCCAGGACTGGAAAAAGCAAAAAAAAGAAAGACGAGACGGAAGGAAAAGAAAGGTGGTGGGCTGAGTGCCGGGGTGACTGTGACTGTGATGCATGATTTCGGGTGCGTTCCTTTGGGTGTGTGGCCCCGCGATCTCAGTAGCAGCCGAAACTTGGCCAGAGAAGACCAGGCAGCCATCCAAATCCCAATATGCAGGACGACAATCCGTACGAGAAATCCTCTCATGGCTCATCGAGCTATAATCCGAGTTCGAAGATGAAAAAAGAAAACCCCCCTCGACCGATGTAACCCCCCTGGGCAGAGCGGTGTCATCCACCTGTCTCAGCTCTCATAGAGAGAGAGAGTGATAGACAAGCACAGAGAAAGGAAGACACGTACCAGTGCATGGTGGCTCTTCCACAGTTGGTGATCCGGGAAGTCTCGAACCTGTGGACCGCACCCGCATACCGTGCAGTGGGTGGTGCAGCATTGCCCCCTTTCTACCTACCTAAAGACTGAGTATGCCCTGAAGGATCGCTGCCGGCAGTGGTTCAACAGGTTAAATCAAGGCAAGGTACCTACCTACATGCTAGTCATTTCCCCAGATGCCTAGGTACGAATTGCAAACCAGTTACCAGATCCTATGCCTCAAAATAGGCCCTGTATGGGACCTGGAGGCAGTGAGATACGGCCCGGCGCTACCTACCGGCGCAAATCAATGAAAGCTAGCGGGTGATCTGACGTTACACTCTTGGACGCCCTGCATTTGCAATTCGGTAAAAGATGGAGATGAGGTGCACACATAAAACCTGAAGCCAGATTGGTCGCTCATTCCACTATATGTGGGTAGTATCATTGAGCTTTGGCAAGCTATGAAACGGCGCTCCGTCTTGCCTGGCCATACGAAATGTCGGCTCAAGTCAATGTGTTTTCTGCTCTGTACCACTAAGTTGAAAAGCAAGGATAGCATGCAGGTAGAGCCTGCTGGAGGAGAATGGGACAGGGGACGGGACGGGAGACGAGACTGAGTTAGGCTGGGGCACCAGTATGGAACGTATTGAGAGAATGGGCCACGCACATGCTACGACAAGCGGATAAGACCCTTGACGAATGGCAGCACAAGCCGATAACTGGCTTTGTTGGGTCATCGTTTCTTGGCAAAGGCAATAGCATGCCAGTGTGAACCTTGTGCCAGTAGAGCAGACCAATAGTTGTAGAGTGGGCGTTCGAAATCAAGGCAGCCGGTTGCCTTGCGTAGTCCGCTTGCTAGCTGAAAACTGGACGGCAAAAGCAATATGGTGGCTGGCCAGAGACCCATTGCTGGGGAACATCTATCAAAGAGAACCCTGGTGAAGATTACAAACAGTTGACTTGATGCTTGGATGGCGATTCCTGCCACGGGAAAGTCGATGAAATGTCACAGGACATCACCTCTACACCTCGCCATGTAGACTTTGGGCTGCCGGGGATGGTGACATATTTAAGACATGCAAGAAAAAGCAACGAGATGCTTATGAATGCAGTACTGCTGCAAGACGCCGAAATCATGACGGCCATTCTGTTTTGGGGGCACGGCACGCTGCCTGCATGCCCTCTCGCAAGAGACTGATTCGCGGAGTTGCGGTTGTTGTCGTCTGAGTGGAGCTGAGCCGGTGAGAGCAGAAAGGGTCTCGTCCGCGTCGATTACGAGCAGTCCGCACGCAACACGGCGAATGTGACAGAGATGAACCAGATTCTGGCCCATCGGAGAGGTAGGGGAAGGAGATAAAAAAAGCTTTTAGTCGGTCCAGGAACCTGGATGTTCTCAAGGGAGCTACCTAAGCTAAGCAATATAAGTGTTAGGTAGCTAAGCAATCCTGAAGACATGGACACAGATACAGGGCTGATTCTCCCGCAGAGCAGGAAGACTGACATTCCAGTCCCAAAAATGTGCACCGAGACCTCAGTGCTGAACGCCTGTCTGGCCTTGACAAATGAAAACCAGCGATAGCCGCTATGCAGAAGCATGTTGTTGTCACTGCGCAACTGTAGTCGAGAATGCGTCGATAGCAAATAGAAAGCCGGGCAGATGTGCAGATTGCTGCGATCGGCGATGCAGCATCCGGTTCTGAGGCAGCCACACGCTCGCGCAGGCCCTCGCTGGACATGAGTGAAAGGAGGGGAGGGGAAATTGTCCCGTCTCATTGTGAAGGCAAGGTAGTTACGGCTGGGAGGAAACAGTGGCGTCTCTGCTGCAGCAGCACGGTTGCAGGAGGTGTGGCGTGTAGAATGTAGAATTGCAACCCCCCTCCTCTGCACGCCCCTCAGGCTCTGGCGAATCTGCAGATGATAGAAGATGGGAGGGAGGGAGGTGCGACGACGGACGGGACGTAGGAGAGACATTTCTGCACCCGACATGTAGGGGAAAAGTGATGAGAGGACCGAAGCACTCGGCCTGCCAGGATCAGACGCTGCTGTGATGAGGAGAAAAGTCGACGACGGCACACTGCATGGCATTGTTTGAGAAAAGAACGACTGATTGGCTGGCGATGGGATCTTTTTCTAGGCAGACCACCGTCTGCGTATGCTTTCCACCCCGCACGGTCTACCTCCTGCCTGGTAGAATATCGAGTGCGAGGATGGTGGCACACACGCACATCCGCATGGAAGGTGCTGGCAACAGTCCAGATCACATAGTTATGCCCGCACTGCGCGAATGTAACGAATGCCTAGAGCTCACTCCAGATGCAGGCCAGGACAGGACAGGGAGGCTTCATAGTATGTCCCAACAGTGACCTCACGGACAAGCAGCCACTAGGTGCCCGAACTCGCTCTCGACAGCCCTGTATTTCACTTCCAGAGAGCAGATGGGACGATTTCCTAGTGGCCATTGCCGTCGGGCTTTCTTTTTTCTTTTTCTTTTCTTCTTCTTTGCAAATTTGCTCTGTCTCTTAATTGATGGACAGCAACACGGATGCGAGCCCCGCTTGCTTCCGTCTGAGCTGACGCCGATATGTTCAACATTGGTCCTGGATCAAGGTCCTTACCCTGGGTGCGGGTTCCTCTGCTATCGGTTTAGCGGCCATGCAAGTATCCTATCGGCGTGTTTTCAGCTGCGGCGATCATAAACTTAAGCTAGGTTGGGTGCTTGTTCCAGGCCCCAGCCAAGCCGAGCCTCAATCTACCTCCTCCGTCCGCTTCACCAACGCAGCTCAGCCCAACCTGCACCAACCCGCGGGTTCCCTCCGGATCCGCCACCCTCTTAGCGAAGTGCAGAAAAGGCCAGAGGCTAATCTACCTAGTACTTTCACCCCATGGGCGCCTTGGCGTGCGAGTGCCGTTCCCAAATCACACGGCAGAGGGTTACCCAGCTAGCAGTCACTGTAGGCCGCCAGTTTCTGGCTCACCCTTGTTCGTTTCCTCGTGAGATTTTCCTCATTCGAGCGATTAGTCTCGCCTAATTCCTAGCCATATGTAGGCAATGTTCGGGGAGTGTGCCCAGCGCAACGAAGCTAAGCAGCTCATCCAATACGGTAGAAGTCCAACTCGCTGGGATGTTTGGCTACAAGACATGTGACGGCTATGACGGGACTGCACTCATCCTGCCCCCGCCTCCATTGCCTTCTACTACCGCTGTAAGAGAGTACAAGGCTCTCCTTATGTTACTTGCCGCGGCAAGATGTACCTCTGGCCCATCTCTACGCCGGGTGGTGTAAATCGGCGAGACACTACCTCTTTCCACCCACACCTCCCCCCTGGTCATCTCGTTGTTGATATTTTCGAACATGGTCGACGCTGCAGCTTTCCGGACTGTTCCTTTTATCTCTGATGCTGCTACTATCTGGAGTGTCGTGTACAGCGTACTTGTAGATGAGTACCACGTGATGACGGGCCATGTATTTGATGTCCTTGCTTCCCACTCATCTCTCTCTTCATCCTCTTCTCTTCTCCCTCTTCATCCTCTTCTTGCCATCACAGTTCACAACTTCTCAAAGTAAATCTACCTTTCGGAACATCATTGATTCAATTTATATCATCTTTCCACCTCGACAGATCTAACCATGACCGCTCAAGACAACATCCCTACCCGCGCCAAGTGCGAGCCTGAGGACACTCATGATGCTTCCCTTGCGGACGGAGGTGAGGGTAATACCTCAATTGCCGAGGACAATAATATAGAGCGGCAAGAGAACTCGCGTATCCTTCAAGATGCGACTACATCCCGTGAAGAAGTCCCGGGGATGCTCCACCACGAATTCCCAGCGATGCTCCCCCAGGAAGCCCGGGAACCGCGTGTCGATGACCCAGTCATGCGTTACCGGTTCATTCCATTTCCTTCTCAAAGGAGCAACGTTAGTTTCCCCTCGTCTTGATCTGTGATCTGAAAACCTCGGGATGACGCCTGGCTAACAGATGTCGTCACAGAATTCGCAGGATTACTTCCCCCAGGGACACTTCCACGATCCCGACCCCTTGGAAAATACATTTGACAACAGCTTGCCGACTGGCCCTCCCACGCAGCCAGCCGAGCGTCCAACCCCGCGGAATAATACCACCGTCGCCTCTTCCTGGCCCGCGCCTGCGATTGCTCCCGCCGCGGCCCCCACCGCCGCCCGGACATCTATGCGGAACTCGTACCACAGGCGTGGAGGCGAGGGCTCACGGTTTCCGCCGCCACCCACTTGCTTGGCTTATTCGAGCTCAGCCCGTGTTTTGTCTCGCAATCATCCCTACTTTCGACCCACGCCACCAATGTTCAACCATCACCAGCCATCAGCAGCAGGCACCGGTGCTGCCGTGTCCACCAGCACGGATCATGCAATGCAGGGTGGCCAAGCAAGCCTCTTCAATGCGCGGAGAGACTTCATCTCCACCCTTATAAGGGAGCGGGATGACCTGCGCAAGACCTATGAAGCCAACCGTGTGAGCCGTCCTCGCAAGAAAGGAGGCATTGGAGCATCAAGAGACCGCAGCCGCCTGGTGGATTCACGCTTCCGCAGACTCTTCGCGCAAATGGATGCATGCTTTGGTGACCTGGTGCGGGCGAACCGAGCAAACCGCGGCTGCAGACCATGCCAAGATACCGAGACCCAAAACATAGCCTTGAGAGAAGCCCAGCGCTACTTGCATCAATGTATCGCTGAACGCAGAGCAGCCGAGGTAGGAGCTCAGCAGCAGGGCGAGGAGGACGCAGATGAGGGCCCGCATCCGGCTTCCACCACCGGAGATGAGGCAGACCAGGAGCAGTTTTCCGAGGAAGAGTAGATAGCTATCCGTGAGGTGTTCTTCAAAGGATGGGTCTGCTGTTGCTGTACTCTGGTCGCCTTCAGTGCTATGACCTTCCTGCCTCCCTCCTTTGCGTTCACAATGTTTCCGTCTCTCGTTTTGGTACATTCCTTTACTTTGTTTCGCGTCTGGATGCTTCGTTCCTTGGGTCACAGATTGGCTGCGCCGACCCTTACATCTTGATTTGAGTCACCTTTCTCCTTGGTTTGTGTTTGTTTTTGGTTGCCTATTGATTGAAACTGGCATGGACCCTCCTTTTCAAACCACTGGCACACCAGCTGGTAGTGGTTATTAAAAGTTATGATGAATGATTTATTTCTTAAAATTAGTATCAAGAATGAATATCTACATGTTTCTGGCCATGTTTGGAAGCACCTGTAGACCGCTTTGGTAGCTGCAAGGACCCTGGCAGCAATGGCAGCAGCCCAAACCTGCCCAGGGTAGAGTGAAGTCGTGATTGACGTATTTATCATCCCACGCCGCGATGCATGATGCAGTTGAAGCCTACACGGCTGCACAACGTCCGGGCAGCGGTGCCTGTCTATCATTGAGATACATCGCAATGCATCCCTGCAGGTGCTTGTGCTTTTTGCTTGAAGTATCAAGCGGGTGTATCGGCTATCCGCTGTGTGAAGAGGTGGCCGTTTTTGATGTAAAAGGCCAACTCTTTCGCGTGGCGGACTTGAATGGCGGATTGTGCATGATGCAACCCTCATAATCGCGTGCTCATGCCGCAGCCACGGTGACCAAATAACAAACAAAGGGGCGCAGCCCGAAAGAGCATTGGCGAGCTGGCCAATTGATTGATTTCTCGTGAAGTGTCTTCGTTGGGTGTGATTCAGTCTCTATTGACGTCGGATTGTAGTGACACGGGTGGAGACTGGCGGCTAACTGACAGCGGGGAAGGTAGGGCTGATCTGATGTGAAGCATGAACAAGTTTGCGGCCCAGAAAGATCAAAACTCGCACCTCTCCCTCTTTATTTTTGTCGAGACTCGATTTTCTACTGCTTGTTTATGCCTAGGCCACCAGTCGGGAAACGAACAAGTCCGGCTACAGGCCTCTCAAACCCGTCACGATCCCATTCCGAGCAGCTGCAACGATGGCACACCCCCAGCAGAACAAAGTGGAGAAGAGCCTAGCGCAGGAGGTGATTAAAGTCTACACGAAGGAGATCGACACCATCATCAAGACCACCCGAAGGATGTACGGAAGGAGTCCTGACGTTGTCGGCGGACTAGGCGCCGGAACCCCTCGCTTCTTCGCATACTGGCGGGATGTCCTGTCGGCGGCGGCAACAGCGATCGAGATCGAGATCATCAAAGTGCCGGAGTACAGCATCCGCATGCCTTTTGAGAAGCTTCACATATACTTCTCTACCGCGTCGGCCTGCCACGAAGATTGGGCAGACGACCCGTGCATCTCGCTCGTGATTCCCGAGGGTGTCCGCAAAGGCGACATCATCAGGACTGTTATCAACTACCTGTACGGAGAAGACATCACACCCATAATTCACACCTCTAGAGACGAGAATGGGTTGACTTGGGGCAAGTACTTGGCCTACAACTGGGCTTGGAGAGTCGAGGAAAGCAGCGGCGTGCCCGTTTTCGACATTTACTGCTGCACGCCGGAGGAATTCACGCGGTACACTGGCTTTCTTAAGCCTCCGAGTCCGCAAAAGGAGAAGCAAGTGAAATGATGCAAGTGATTCCTGGATCATTGCAATTAATCTGTATTTGCCTTCGTTCGCTGGAAACAGAGTGGATGTTCTGTTGGGACGAGTGTTTGGGCACGACGATGGTGGCGAGCGTTCTTATCTTTGAGGGCATGCTGTTTGGTATTGTAGGAGTGGATTTGCGAGCAGGCAGATAAAATAACACCTCGATGGCGAGAGTGGAACGAAGGTCTGGCTTGATCTGTAAAATACATGAGTAGTTTAGTACCTACCTAGCTACGTACATAGGTAGATACTGAGGTCGTTTCCGACAATGCGGCCATAATACTGAGATGTTGATCACATCATCACTCGTTGCAGCTGCTGCCACACGGCAGGTGCAACCCACGAGCCACAATATGCACCTGCTTCAAACCTACTGCCGAGCTCGTTCCAACTTGGAATCCGGAGTAAAATAATTGCCCGCAAAGGACTTTCCGTTCCATTAATTGATAAAATAATTTGCTAATCCATCACCGTCCAAACAGCTGCCCGACCGTCCTGTTCCAATTATCCGGCCTGGCCATCTTCCGCATCGTGTCAGCCATGCACTCGCAAAAGTCCTCGACCTCGATGTCGTTCATCTGCGCCGTGTCCCAGGATGCGACAAAGTACATGTTCTGGCTATCAATCATAAACATGTTCCAGAAGAAGCCACTGTCAGGCACAAGACCGGGTTAGCAGGTCATCACACAGACGAAAATGAATAAGACAAAGCTGCAGGAACAGCAGCAGAAGCGAGCGCCACGTACCAATCACCCCAGTCCAACCTGCTGACAAACTCCAGTAACCTCGAGTCGTTGCTGAATTCCTTTGACGAGCCCAGCCCGAGTGTCACGTCCCAGACGAACGATTGTCGATAGCTGGCTGCGTCGGCCACCGCACCTTCGTCTCGCAGCTCCTCGATGACCTTTTGCCACGGCACGTGGTCATATCGAGTCTCTTCATCGCACTCAGAGGCAAACCGCCCGAGAAAATCCAACACGGTCTCGTTTTTAGACACCGCTACCATGCGGAGAAGCCACGACGCCGTCGGTCCATCGATGCTCATCGCAGGCGGAAGCATGTTGTGCATCCACTGCGGCACAAATGGCCACGTCCGACAACTCTCCCACGTATTGAAGATTGCATGCGACGCCCCCGTCTGCCTTGTATTGAACAACACCACCGCTGCCTTGGCGAACAAGGATGGTTGAATGCCGTGCATTCGCTGTAGCTCAGCCAGATGCGGCAGGCAGACAATCCGGGCCTGTCGCGGGTACCGAAAAGAATTCGCATTAGCCTCCCACTCGCCCTCCCACACTTGAGCTCTGACAAGAGCACGTTCACGCGCACGATGCGAGCCGGCATCATTTGAGACCATCCAGCCTGGCGCCCTTTGGGGAGGCCACAATGCATCCTGGACCCGCGAGATGCCACGCAGCTTCCTTGTGTGGAACCGGACGGCTTGTCGGGCTGGCTCACTGTCCTCGTACTGGCTGAATAAATCAGAGAAGAGTCTGAACGGTGTAGAAACTGGCAACTCGGCATTGGTGTTATTCAAGACACACTCGAGGTCTCTGTGGAAGGGCCAGAGGGACAGCGCATCTATGATGGAGTGACTGAAGAGAACGGACAAGAACACGTCACTGCTCTGCCGAACGCTGATGACTTGGCCTTGGAACATGAAGTGCGAAGAATGAGCCGCATAGGAATCATCGCTCCATCTCTCCTTAGCCTCTGCCTCGGTCTCGACCTCTACATCGTGAATCAAGTGCTGGAGAAGCTCACGGTTCGTCTTGATGACAAGATGGGTTGGTTTGAAGCCGTACGAATCGAATAAAATGGTTCTCATCATCGGCCTATGAGCCACACACCTTTCTAAACTCTGACGAACGTGCTGGAATTCAGAGCGTTTCGCACGGAAAACCATTCGAACATGGTAGGATTGAGGGCGTTGGCCAATGACAGTACGATGGAGAGACTCTTTGATGGGAATCATGTCTTCGACAGCGCATTCGCTCAGCCCCAATACTTCCAGCTGACTCTTCAGCAATCTATGATCTGGGAACTCCGAAGAGGAAATAAGATTGCTTTGGAGTGGCGCCAGAGTCTGCGGCCCGAACGAGGATGGGAAGACTGGAGCGCTGCTCCCATGGCTGATTTCAAGCAAGGGAGTCGGTGGATGGACAAGCTCGCCGATATGTGTTTGCAGGTTGGCACTTCGCGACGCTAGCAATTCGGCTTGTTTGTCAATTGTGTCGCATGTCGCAACATCTTGAAGATAAAGTCTCTTGCCCGTCGATCTATACACGGCATCACAATATCGGAGCATGGAAATGCTGTCAGCCAAATGTGTCATTCGGGTATCGGTTTTTGGCCTCGTTCCAGTGACCTGTTCCCAAGCGTCTACCAGCTTATTCAAGATTTCATTGTGATGAAAAAAGGAATACGAGGTGTCGGGCTTTGACGTGCCATGGAATGCCTCATCTGTTGGAGCTTGGCGGAGGATCTTGACGGCCTTCTTCAGTTCGTTTTTCTTCACCTTTCCCATCGAGGTGACTGGGAATGCCTCGAGTCCCAGATCTTTCAAAGTATAGACCCCTGCCAGCATATACTTGGCGTCGAGCATTGCGACACGGTCGCTGAGCATGGACTTGGTCACACCTTCGGGAAGACTTGCTACAGCTACTGGGACCTCGCCGCCCATGTTGTCTGGAACACCAATGGCGGCAGCCTACGATATCGTCAGTATGAATGGACTTTGTGACCTCGAGGGGGGCATTGGTTTTCCTACCTGAACACCGGGAATTTGCGCAATCGCCGACTCAATCTCAAAGGGATTAATGTTTTCTCCGCCCCGAATAATTATGTCTTTATATCTCCCGCGAACATAGAGAACTCCGTTGCTGTCCATCAAGCCTTGATCACCTGTCATGAGCCACGTACCGCAGCCATCTCTGTAAAAAGACTCGTTCTCCGCCCCGTCGAGATAGCTAGAGATGACAGAGTATCCACTGAGGTGAATCTCACCGAGCTGTCCATAAGGAAGAACCTCCCTCGTCACAGGGTCACAGATTCTTACCCACACGCCAGGGAGGGCTTTTCCTACGCCTGGATGAAAGCCATCGACAAGGAGCTCGTCGCTGCGGGCCCAGCTCAAAGTCGGTGCTCCTTCGCTCATCCCGTACGCTTGGATCGCATCTTTTGCACCTAGGCCCTGCCGGCACATGTCAATGTCGTCTTGTGTGATGGTTGTTGCGGCAATGGTCACAACCTCTAGACAGAGCTCCGAGGGATCCGGAAACAACGGGTCTGCTAGTAAGACTTTGACCAAGGTTGGAGTTGCCGACATGATGGTGATTCTTTCATCTCGCAGAGCCCTTATCGTTGACTGGACCTTGAACGTCTTGGACGGGAAGACGGCGGCGCCTCCGTACCTCCATGCCCGCAGTGCATTGTTGATGGCAAAGATGTGCGACACCGGCGTGTGTACAAGCCAACGGTCAATCAGGGAGGGATCAGGGTTCGGGTCGTATTTGGCCGTCTGGGAGATGACGCTCTGATTGGTATGCGGACAACCCTTTGGTTTGCCCGTCGTACCGCTGGTGAAGACCACTACGGCCAACCGATTGGGCTGGTGGTTGTACTGCTCGGTGTCAAGATGGCCAGGCTCAATATTGGTGAACATCTCAATGTTCATAACGTGCCGCTCTATGTCACGCTCGCCCCAAAGATTAATCCAGTCTGGCTGGGAGGTATAGGAGCAACAAATGCGGATACACAGAGATGAGAATGGCTGATCCAGCTCCGGATCATCGATGATGGCGATGCCGTTATCATCTTGCACGACGATGACGTCGGGTTTCAAGACCTGTAGCATGCTCTGCGCTTCTCTTGGAACACGAGGGTCGATGGGAGCGAAGACCATGCCGAGACTGGCGGCGACCCAAAAGAAAAGCCCCCATTCGGCACTGTTCCAACACACGGCGGCCAAACGCATGTTGGGGCGACAGCCCAACTTCCTCAAGCAGGTTGCGATACGGGTAGTTTCGACCAGGAGCTGCTGGTATGACCACCTGAGGCAACGGTTATCATATTCAGCTTGGTAGTCACTTTCGTAACCATCGTCATGTGGTTGCTGCCAAAGAGAGACGATGGCGTCTCTATCTGGGTATCTGGCAACTGTGGCGGTAAAAATGTCCCACAGCCCAAGGTCCATGTCCGTTGGGACGACGCCAAACCGCTCGCTTAGGCTCACATCGGGACAGGCCATCGAGGCGGTGGTTGGGTTTGGAATGGAGCCCAACGCATTCGAAGTGCCTCGAGACGTCAATTTTAGCCTTGACATCACATTGCGTATCTTTCTGAAGACGCTCTTCTTACCAGGAGGCGCTCTGAGCTGCGTCAGATACGGCATTCTGGTATCAAGTAAAAGGGGGGGTGGGGTGGAAAGGGTTGGAGGAGGTGAGCGAGCCTGTCGCCTTTGTGTGTCTGTTTCTCGATCTGGGAACCAGTCCTCAGCAACAAATTAGGGATTAAGAAGTGCAAAGGATGAATCAATGTCAAACTCTAGATGGGATATTTTTTAGAGCTTGGATTGTCGCGGGGTCTGGATGGTATTGTAGCTCGACGGTTGGGTTCTTGGGCGGTTTGGCAGCAACGAGTCACAGCAAAGACTGCACCCAGTCACCGTACGGCAGCAGCAATGCAGCCTGTCATCCGACTCATCACTTACTCTGGCATCGACTGGGAGGTCTCCCTACCCAAATCCAGCGACTCGACGGTTGCTTGCTTCCCTTTTCGGGTAGGGCTGGACGCTCGTCCCAAGGCTAGATGGACCTGGAACAAGCCGCGAAACATCAAAGGGGCCGCACCGTAAGGCGCATTGGCATCGCCGGGATAAATTCATGCGGAGCCAGCGTTGTCTTCATGCCCAGCAATGCACATCACCGGGCTGGACCTGGTGATACTCGTGTTGAGGGACGAACCAATTTGCAAAGCTA